GAATTTTCGCAGGTATGCGGTAGCATGGCGACTGCATCCTATGAGTACTGCAGCCCATTGTGCGCGAAATACCTGTATCTGCTATTGTATCTGATAGTGCGTTTGAGCACGTATCCGAAACTTCAGGCGAATAAAGCTCTTGTTCCAGCGATCGTGCCTCCTTCACGACTGCCTCCCGCGACCCGGCTCCTCGCTTCTGTTGGCATCTGATAAGGGTTCCTGATGCAGGAGTTAATTTTGGTGTGGGGTCCTCGACGGGGTCAGCTGAGGACGTTTCTTATCGAACAATTTCCCTCTTTTTACATATCTCATATCTCCCTGTAAAAGATGTTGTTCTGTGCCAATAGATTATAGTGCATAGAGTGGTACTGGAATACTTCGAAATGCACCGTCTGCCTGTCGCAATACCGATTCTCTGGACTTCTGTTCAATAAACTGTGTGGGATAGAACTATACGATAGCTTCCACGATCGAGAACCTCTCCCAGTCCTCTTCTCAAACTTTCTTCCCAGTAGACTCTTTGCTTAGAGGCACCCTCTTTTGGCTGGCGTGTTCTTAATCTATTTGATCATCTCTTTGGCGCTTACTCAGATTAATAAGTTGATTATTAGACTTAAAATGCGGGCCTTTCGATCGGTCCGTTGTGAACAAGTACAAATGAGGAGGGGGAAATTTCGTTTGTTAGAAGTTTTCAAATGGACGAGTGTTAATTCAACGACCTCAGTAGTAATTTATCCATTGTCATAAGGTTGGAAATGGATAGGACTGATGCGTTTATACGCCGGAAAATGCCTTGGTAAGCTCCCATTGTTCATCTGATATCCACGACATAGAAAGCTGTGAGAGTTTGTTTTGAACAGCGAATTCCCAGAGGCCTTCAGAACATTATATCCGTTTGTACGCCTTTACGACTGTAGCCGCAAATTAGTGCCGTTTTCAGCATTACGGTTCGGGTCAAATTTACGCGACGCCATCTAGACTGACGTTTGGCAAACGAAATGTGCGTTTTATTCTCGTGTGTCGTATATACCTTGACAGACGCGTTTGGTCCGATCGACCTGCTGCCCCTAACCTTGCTTTGAGACGTCAACCACACAGACAAACAAATGTGTTGCTTTAGACCTTTCTGTGACGTACCAATCCCAGTAACATCCAGACAATCGAGTGAATATGGTTGCAAAATCTGCGAGAAAGGCAGAACCGTGTTGCCAAACTGACTGAAACGCTGAGTAATGTAGTCAAATGACGGCTGTTAAGATGAGGACTTGTAAAATCATGGAATGTTGGCTAAAATTCTGAAATACGTTTCAATTAGGAAGGATCACTTAGGTGGAATTGAAATACCGATCAGCAGGTGGCATTATCCAATAATATTTCGGACTCGCAGGATGTCGACTTTTGAATGCACTTCTTTTAGATCCCCAGTCGACAGTCGGCAAAAATGACTACTTAAGTAGTATGCGTTTTTCACACTGCTTTTTTGCCTTGTAAATTCAATGTATCTCATAGGAAGCATGCATAAAATGTGCTTTTCTTCGCTCATTTGGCAGTTAATCACGCCGTATTTACATTCTATACTTGAAGAAAGGGCACATTTCGGTTTTAAAAAGTTTCTTACTAAGAGCTTTTTCAAAACCCTGCAATGTTCATTCATACACATCGCACCTGTCCGTCAATTAATGCTCCTCATGAAGCATACAACATGGCCCACATCCACTGCAAAATCTTATTAACTCTACATGGTGCCTTCCTAAAGGCATAAAGAATGTGATTTTTCTTACGTGTTAAGTGTCACCCAACTGCGGACAAGACACGACAGTTCGACCGTCGATTTCGACGATGTCCACCGCGTGCCCCACAGCTGCAGCAGCAGTGGGAGCAGGGACGGTGACTTGCGCAGGGGTTTATAGTGCCAGTAGACTTGCGCGGCATCTACCTACACGCTCTCTTCCTCCCCCGCCTGAGCCCGGTGTCAAGACAGAGTCAAGAAGACCGGAGACGAGGGAGGCAGCAGGTGGATGGCTCGGACGGATCCTCACCTTGGCGTTCCACCACACCCCCTGGTCCACACAACAATGACTAGGATTTCGACCAAAACAATAGCGATTTGGAGGCTGGCACGACCGAAGCCGCACCTAGACGTGCCGCCAACGCCTGGTTCGGATCCCACACTGTGATGGGAGTGCCATAAAGGCCAAATTAAAAAGGAGCTATTGCAGCCTGACTCTCAGCGCCTCCAGTCAAGGAGGAGGTCCAAGTTACCCCGTCAGTTGGCAACCTTCCAAGCCACGGCTTTTAGCGCACCGTGATAGCTTCAAGCGCGTCAGATTGTTTATAGTGAGGAGAAAGTGCGCTGAGTCGTCGACCTCACTCTCCGTTCCCATTCCCACACCCCAGCCGCTGTCCGAGCCGGTCAGCAGACTGGAGTGGTAAATGGGCGCGGTGGCTGGCATGATCGACTGACCATGACTGCGCGCGCCAGGAGCACGACCTGGCCCCCCATACACACAAACACCAGGATTTCACACAACGGGGGTTGAACGGCGTGTCTCTCACTTGCGTGAGAGGGCCGTGGAAGGTGCTGCTTCAGCCCGTCCGCAGCCCACCAGTCCGCCACTCCACACAACACACACACGCGCACAACGCGACGAATTGCGTGAACCGAGTGCGGGCGTCAATCAGCAACCTTCCTATCAACGACGCTTGACGTGTCGGGATAGTTTCAGACTCAAAATCACCCGTGCAGCCGAAGCCGCATGGGGACCGAGTCGAGATGCACACTTCCCACTTTCGTGGAAGGTGGCAGTTGGGTGCTTGCGGTCGGTGGGTGTTGATGTGTGGTGGAGTGATGGTGGAGAGGTGGAGGAAGGGAGGGAGTGTGTGGATGTGTGGTGTAACCGGCGGTTGTCTACCGCAGGTCGTCGTGGATCCGCATGTGACCGAATAGGATCATGCGATGCCTGAAATTGCGAGGACAGTGTGGGCAGTTGAGTCGAGCTTGGTGGGTATAGGTTGGTGCTCCAGGCACTGGTTCTCCAGTCTCTGTGCGGTGAATTCGCAAGTGACCGACCAGGCCGATGCGGACAAGAAATACGCATGGGGAAGGCATGGTAACAAGCCCATACAAACATTGTTGCAGCATCATGTCCTCGGGGTGGTTTAGCTCAAATAATATCATTCTCCTTCGGTTATAGCCGCCGAAGTACCTGACTGGGTCCCGACAGAACATACTTTACTTTGCCTTTGACCAAGCAGTACGTGTGGAGGGTTCAGAACAATGAGTCTATATGAACCTCTTTGAAGCACCGCGTCCTCCGGGCGGTAGAGGTCAGCGAATGTTATCTCGCTTGGGTTAGAGCCGACGAAGGGAGTGGCTGAAGTCCTACCGGTAACACTTTACTTTTCCTCTTACTAAAGAATTACGTGTGGGGGGATGTAGAACAATGAGCCAATGTAGACATTTTGGCAGCACCGACCCCTCGGTGGGGGCGGGGTACAGGTTAGCGAATGTCATCCTGTCGAAAAAGGGCCGGCCAAAAACTCTATCGAACAGTACCTACTTTGAAAAGTAAATTGGTAGTTTTTCATAGTTTTTCCTTACCGGCACCTATACTCAATACTTAGCCGGAAAACTTTTTCAAAACCAAAATATACCCGTACTTCGAAGAAACGTGAAGACGACGTGATTTCCTACCAAATGAGTAAAAAAAGCATATTTTGTAAATGTTTTCTATAAAATAGACTTGAATTTATAAGGTCACCCAAAATCAGCGCGAAAAACGCCAACTACTTAAGTAGTCATTTTTTTACCGACTGTGGTTTTCACAGGGCGTCGAGAAGAAAAGCAGTTAAAAGCCAACTTTCTGGTGAGTCCGAAGTATTAGGCGATTGTGCCGCGTGATAGTTGACACATTTCCAAATCTCCGCTCAATACGTAAGTCAACGGTGGATAAAATGCACCTAACGACTTCTGGAGGCCCAGGTTGAACAGTGCAGAGAAAAGTTAACGTTGAAAAAATGAGGAAAGTGAAATGGCAGTTTTCCGGCTTATATGCCGTTATCAATCAGCCAAACCCAAAAAACCAGGTCGGAGCGATCTGAAATTTAGACTCCTGTCGAATTGTCAGCTGACTTAGCTCGAAGAACAGTTCGCTGGACTGACTTATTTGGACGTCTAAACAAGACATGGAAATAGGAATACCCCACCCAAGTAATAAAGGTTGACCTGCGTATGCTTCTCAAAAGGGCAAGATATTCCAGTGTCCTTATACCAAAATAACCCTGATGTAAAATTACAACGTTGCCGTAATCTTGACCCTAACCCTGCCCTAAACCTTAAATCAGCTGTTACCACTGGCCCCTATTTTAACCCTAAACTTGATCCGGGCATACGTTGCCCTTAACTTTAAATCTAACCTCAAACCTAATCCCTGACCTAACCCTAATACCACTGGGAGTTGGCTCAAAGCCACCGGTGTTGCAGGCAATTCTTTTTCTCATATCCTGTTTAGACGCCGACATAAGTCAGTCTTACCGAACACTTAGCCCAGATTCGAATTCCAGGTGTCCCCAACCTTGGCTTGGGGAGTGGTTGCCTGTAGACGGTGAGTAGTAAGAATAACTGACACCCCAGTCTCCCCGATGTTGTGCATTCCTCATTATTGTTTTCGCAGACATACTACCGCCTGCGCGACGGCTACAAACTGGCTGCAAAGGAAAAGAGCGTACTTCGTGTCGGTCTTATTTGGCTTTGGACATTACTTTCCTTCGTTAACTTGAGATCGTAATGAAAGCTTAAAACTTACGCCCATTGGACACAATATCTTCGAAGGGCTTCCGGTTTTCGATGGACTATTCGAGAACAAAGTGGAAGCTAGTCGCGTGCGCGGACTGTAGAGCGATGATTTCAGCGGAGTCTTGAGTCGTTCAGCTTCTGAACTTTCCTGTGCTTTCTTTTCGGCCAGCATTCGTGAGACGGGTGACAATTGGCCCTAAGAAATGATAGAAAAAGGACTGCTAGGTTATGCTCTTTCTGTAAGAAACAGTGCTCTCAAATTTACTGGCTTGTCAGTCAGCAGGACTGGTTATATCTGAAATCTGAGCGGAATCTTCATTACCACAGATGTCACAGGACTGTCCTTCTCGACAGGTTTCGGGCTCTTCTTCGCTGAAAACATGGACTGTCTTGTGACGGACTTTCTCAACGCCGCTGAACTGGTTGTTTCAAGTAGACGTCGCGCGGGCAGCTGTGCCTTTCGCTTCAAGCCACTCCTCTTAATCCGTACTGGATTTCTCGGAGTTTCAGCCGGAGATGCGTTGCTCGATGAACTTTCAGCCGGCAAAGTCTCCACAGGCCTCGTGTTTGTCACTGGCGAGGCGACGGGATCTAGAGTCTGCTTCTCCATCAACTCTTTATAGCACATCTCTCGTATGAGGTTGGAAATAAGCGCTGGCGGCCTTGAAGGCGTTGCAAAGGGCACATCGTTGGAACTGTATGCTGATCCGTTCATGACGTTCTTAACAATCTGAAGATTGCAGAAAGCAATAGACATCACTAATGCGCCATCAAAGGTAGTGACAAATGTGGATAAACTCCACGTGCTGGAAAGAGATGAGGAAATAACGAGTTGGAGGAAGTTACAATGTCCGGCAGTTGAATAGTTATTTCGATATCTGAACTCCATAACTGGATAAAACGTGTTTGTTGCGGATATACCCGGGACACAAGCTAGCAATCCTTGAGGGAGAAGACTTAGAGTGTGTCAGTCGGGCTAAAACGCTTTTCACAACAAAAAGGGTGAGAATACAACCAATACTATCAGCGCGATGATTCCTGGGTCCTGCTGAAATCGGGCCTAAATCCCAGGTCTCCCTAGCTGAAGGCAGTGACCAAGATCGAGTCAGTCACTGTGATTCCCATTGTTTATGAAAACACTTCTTCGTCATATCACCTGATGGTCACTGCGTGACCATCCGCGATAGTTTCACTAAAGCCATGGAACAAAGTGAAGGCTGTTCCAGAACATATCCAACAGGGTAAACTTAACTTATGAATGAGATATAAAGCTAGGAAAAGAACGCAAGGGAAGTGATGTAGGGTAGAGGGGGCGCGCACCAATAGCGTCACGGAGCTCCCTCATTTCGTGCTTTACAGCTAGATATCGAGTCCTGTCAGCAGCCACTCAGCAGCCAGTCTTATGGACAAAATGACATTGTCGACAAAGACAAGGGAGTCTGGAATGGCCGTTTCTGGTTTGTTAGCCGTCATCAGCCAGCTGCACCCAAACCCGAGAACCGCAACCCCTAGGCTCGATCTCGTGACCTGTTGGTTAGAGGTCCAACGCTCTAACTACTGAGTCACAGGCACGATGTCCTGTCGGTTGCGATCGGACATATTAACAATGGCAAAGGGGTGTTCACCGATCGAAACCAACAGGACATCGAGCCCGTGGTTCAATAGTCAAGGCACTGAACTCCTAAACAACAGGTCGCGGGACCGCGCTCCAGGTGGTGGACACCTCGCGGCTGGATATGTCTATTTGACGACGTCTATCAAGCCCGAAATGGCCGTCCCATTCTCCCTTGTCTTTGTCGGGAATGTCATTCAAGCTAGATTATGCCCCCCTGCAAGGTTGTTGGTGGGGTTCGAGAGAGGGCTCCAAAGCACAACGGAACAAGTGAGTTCCTTAATGCGATCAGTGAGCGCCCCTCTACTATTGTTAATATACCCGACCGCAACTGACAGAACGAGCCGATGGCTCAGAAACTAGGGCGTTTGACTCCAAACCAACAGGTCGCGAGTCCAAACATCGAGGATTACATAGGTCGGGACCCGGTATTGCTGGCTGATGACGACTAACGAGACAGAAATGGTCATTCCAGTCTCCCCTATCTTTCCCAGTAATGCTATTCTGAAGTAATGTATGCATTACTTTTATTCACCGAACATGGCGAAGACAGATGGTGGCTGGCCGGCAATTCATATGCTCTGCTGCAGCTCACTGTTCATCTTTCTTAATAGAACGCGAAGGCATGTCGTTCAGTGGTTTGTGAACGGTCATGCCCTCAGTAAATTGGCTAGACAAACCTCCATTCGTCTGACACGACACACCTCCTCAGTGTTTGCCACTTTCGCGGTGTAAGATGCATTCAAAAATGGTCGTTAATGAAAAGGAACGTACTCCATCCCCAAAATGAGGGTGCCGTTTTCTGACTTTCTGTTCATCTCAGAACTCACGATCAGAGACTGGACAGATGTTTATACACACCATGTATTTTCAAACCCCTTCCACTCCCTCAACACCAGTTTCAACCTTTAATCTTACCAAAGTAACACAAGGGACTTCACTCCGCAGAAATCAATAACCGAACCAATAATCACCGCTGAAACCGACTCTGCAGCCCCCTACCCATCCTGCCCACACTGGCACCTAGAACTTACTTAACGCACCGGCCTGGTCGGTCACTTGCGAATCCATCGCATAGATACTGGCAAACCAGTGTCTGGAGCACCAACAAACACCAGACACATCCGCCCCAACTGCCCGCACTGCCATCGCACATTCAGTCGTAACATGGGCCTACTAGGTCACATTCGCACTTATAAAAACATGCAGTAAATCACCGCAGCCACGACCACATCGCCACACATTCCTCCACCAACTCGCACCACGCATATAACCCTCCAAGATCCCACAACACCGGCACCTCTCACAAAATTTGAAAGTGCGTTTCTCGGCTCCTTCCCTATGTGTTTCATCTGCTGGATGTGTGATTCGAGCCTGAGACGATTACGGTGCGCCAAGTGCTGTGGATTGGAAGATTGCCAGCCGGCGCCCCAATTCAGTCCCCGCGGACAGCCCACTCGTGTGTTCGTGTTGTGAGTAGCCAACGGGTGGACTGCGAGGCAGGCTACAATGGTTCCTTCTTAATATGACCCCTACGACACTCCCACTCCGTGGGATCCGGTCCGAGTGTGGCGACACGCCTAGGGGCGGCTTCGGCCGCGCCAGCAGTTGCTCTTGTTATTTTTAGTCAAAGTCCTAGCCAAGTGTTTGTTGTGGACCAAGAGATGTGGATGCACGCATAGGGACTGTTTCGGCCGCGCCAGTCACCTACGAACTTTCTTGCCTCTGGTCATTTTGACTGTTTGATGTAGATCCTAAGTGGGGAAGGAGGAGGGGGTGCGGTAGATGCAATGAAAGTCCATTATCACTATCAAAGAAATCATGCACAGGTCACCGTGCCTGCTCTCATCCTGCGTAGAGTTGTGTGGAAGTTGTCATGACGGTTAAAATGTCATAGTGGGAAACACAGAGCCGTTCTGGGCAAAAGGACTGGAACCTCAGGATCAATCTCATTCGTCCTTCCCCATCTTGTATGTCAATGGTCGGCCCGAGTTAACTGGCCGAGAATGAACTTGGACGCGTTGACTAAAATGTGACAAAGCCTCCGGCCAACTTATGCCACACACGACCGGATAAATTGGTCAGTTATGCGACGCCTCAGAATGTCGATTTCTCTCATTAATTATTAAGTACCGAGTCGGGGCGGTCCACTCGTCCTGTTCACAGTTCAGCCACCTATCACTCCTGCAGTACACCTAAACCATCAGACGGATGGTAGAGAGGAAAGACTATGCAAACTAGCGATAAGTTCCAGTTGATTTACTACACCTGCTCCTCTGCAAGACACGTCGACGAAGTCGGGTCATTCTGAAACCGTCGTGCGAGTGGCCGACGATCGGAGAAGTCACAGACTGTGCGTAAAAATGAGCAACGGGGGAGGGCTTTGTGTAGAAATAGAAAGTGAAACAGTAGAATACCTCTGGCAGATCTCCCCTGGCGGAAACAGTGGAGCTGTTTGCCGCAGGCGAATCTGCCTTGCTCTCACGTGCCTTCGACATCACAGTCGGCGTCTCCTTAACGAGTACTTTCATCTCCTCGCTGCTCTGAGTTGCCAATGTGGGGGGCGTGACTTTAGCGGTTATTTCCAGTTTTGTCACTGGCAGAGAAAATTTCGTCGATACTTCCTCAATGGTTGATGCTCGGGCAATCAGGGGCTGACTCGAGGGCTTCAAGGCATTTGCCTCCTCGGAGTGCATCTTAGCCTCCGCTACCAAACGTGCGAGTTTCTCATTAGCGCGCAGCAACTCGTAGGTCTCATCCTGGTCTTTCCCGGTTGGCACGGTTATGTCGACTAATTTACCCTCGACGTTCCTTTAGGAAGTGAGAGAATTGATGCAAAAAACATCATGATCCTCAAACAAGAAGAAGAGAGAAAATAATAACCATTTTGCCTTTTGCATGTTAAGTCGCCCCTACAAGTGAAGGCGAGAGCATAGAATTTTTGGCATTTTCTATTTCAGTGACTGGGGGTTGGGAATGTGGGCTTTCGTATTACATTTAGCATTATCCTAGATTCCTGGGGGTGGTTGGAGTTATGGTTAGGGCTACTGTTAAGGTAACTGTCAGGGTTAGGTTTATGGGGATTGGAGCAAGGGCTTGGAAGTTTGTCGTTACTGTTAGGGCAAGTGTTAAGACCAGTGTTAGGAAGGGCGAAGGTAAGCTCCTGTGGTCTAGCGTGGGGTCACCCGCAGTGCTGAGGGTCAATACTCCCTGGTCCGAATCCTGGGGAATTACTTGGGACGGTCAATGTCAAACTCAAATAAAGGTGCATGAACTTCTGGCTGCGCCTCCCTGGAGTACAAAGAACTGGTTGTCTGACGGCAGCCGAATGACTTGACTACTCAGGTCAAAATGATCCAACACCACTGGCCCAGAGATTAATCTCAAGCTCTGCACTGTACAAATCGAAGTACACCATGGCATTTCATTCGTCGTCTTTTCTACGGGATCAGGCTGTTGATGCTGCAGAGGTCAATGAATGCATGCACAGGCGCGAAAAAAGACTCTGAGTGAACGGCGGGATCGACGCTATTTTGCGCCCTGTGCCATAAAAACCAAAGATCCCAACCTGGTAAAGCAATATGTTGATAACTGTCGCATGTGGTACAGTCGTTTTCGAGACGGACCAAACCAGTGCTGGTGATAGCGGTCGTGTCATCATACAAACGCTTTGTATAGGATGGTCTACAAGAAGTAAGGTTAGAGTAGTTCGTGAAAAGGCTACTGGAATAAGGATAAGAGGCCGCAGCAGCCGGCCATGTTACACCATAAGTTAACCTGAAGGGTCCAACAACTAACTATCATGGTCACAATAGTACGGGTATGTGAACTACTCTCGTGCAAGATTCGGTCTCCGTCCGTACAGCCGCGGGTTAATCCCAGGAACCAGTTCCCTAAATCACAACGTTTCTTCAGATATGTATTTTTAACCTAACGATCAAAGGGAAAATGGGTTTTACACAGGGAGTTTGGGCAACTGGATCAAATCGTAATAAATAGATTCATACTCACGTGAATTGAACATGTTTGAGTCTAAAATATTGAAAGGGAAGTAAAAAGTCACAGCAGATCGAATACTTTCGAAATACTAAAATGCAAAGGAAAATAACCAACAGGCATGCTTCCATCGGTGTAGTGTACTAACTTAGCAGGTCAATGTTCGTAAAAACCAGATACCCTTGACGAGATGCGCACTTATGGGCACTTCGGGACTTATCATCCAACATTTAGAAGACACGAAAGCTTAAAAATTGAAATAGAGAAAAAACATTTTTCTAGTCGCTAAACTAGTTACGTAATCACAGCACTCTCATTGTTATGGTTCATGAAAACCGGGAGCCGTCTCAACCAGAAAAAGCCTATTGAGAGAAAGAATCTAGACACTAAACCCTCCCCTAGGCGCCCGATGTCCTTCTTCTAGCCAATCGCAGGTACATCCACCAGTCTACCTTAATGTCAGTTGCCTGCCAATCAAATGCCATAATTAGTTGAATAAATTGACCCAGCGGAGCCTAATAAACCAGTGTTCCTGAACCTCACCAAGTACACACAAGAACTAGAAAATTTAACTAGATGCATTCTCAGAAATTGGACACTGGTGAGCAAAAACATTTGTTGTAAAAGGAAGTCGAGCCTCCGAAGTTAAAGGCAGGCAAGGTTCGGTAGTCGAAGACGGATTATTTCGCACTAGTTACGGTTTAGCTGAGGTAGCTTGGAGGTGCGATTCCTAGAATGAATTCGGACGATTGGAGGTCCGATTTCTTCTGCCAACTTTTCATTTTCCGTACTGCCCATCATCAAAACTGAAGAGCCAAACACAGTGTCGCTCTGTCTTGTGCTATTGCTCACCACGTAACTTAGAATATGTCATGGGGTAGCAGATCAAGTGGCGACGGAATAGCTCCCATGAATTGTCAAGATAGAGCAAACTTGGAAACTGTGCGTGAGTGATAGTTTAGCTCGCAGCTCAAAGATTTAACTCAAATCAACTTGCTTAATGACAGGGAAAACAACTCAGCATCCTCTCTATTTTCAACAACTCCCTTGCAAGCTAATGTTTTAACAGAGAGTTACATGGGGAGAAAGTGGCTTGACGTCGGGAGTGAAGACATGTCTGGGCCATGGAAGACTATAGACACGAAATGATAAATTCTGAACTAGCGAGTGTTCTGAAGACCGTCTTACAGATTGACCACGGAGTGCTGTGATGACCGTTTTGTTTTTGTGAATCGAATTACTTCTCATTCAGTTGTGTTTTTTGATTTTGTGAATTAGGAAATTCCTGCCAGAGAGAAGTCTCTGGAGATTATGCAAATAACTATTTACTTTTGCTGTGTGCCCTGAGGTCAATAACGCCATAGATCAAGTTGTCGTCAGACAAATAACCGCTCTACTTCATTACCCTAAACTTCCACCAGGAATGGTCAAAAACAACCAGGCTTCCGATTTCTAGTGGGACAGCAAGAGAAACTTGAGTGGATGAGAAGAACCTCAAGGAAGCAGTTACCTTGGTGCGGCGGCGGAGGAACTTGGTCTTTTCTGTTCAGGTTTTGCTGTTGCAAGAATAACCGAACCCATAGAAGTCTGAGGCCGTTTTAATGCTGATCTTGGACGTGGTTTCGTCTGACATGAGCTGTTTGGACGAGGCGTGCGCTTTGCCTCTGCAGCAGATTCAGTTGCTAAAACCCCAGATTGCAATCTTTTAAGTAGTTGAGAATACCAACAAACATTTAAAGCATACCCACATGTATAAAAAAATACAATGATGTGATTGGCACCAGCAAGGAACTGTTACTTAACAGTCTTCTGCAGAAAGACAGGATAATTTAAGTAGAATGAATAACAGTCAATCGAGTTACCGGTTAGTTAGTCCGAATACAGAAGTAGAACAGATCATATATACTGCCGTGATTTTCCCCCGATAAGTAGATTCAAATGGACAATTGACAACCGCATATTGTGGTTAAGACGTTAAAAATATAGCCTGCGTTTTGGAAAGATAAGAAGACAGTTTGATATCTGGCATTTCATTCAAGTGGTCTGTGCAGACCTGGCAGCGCATGGGTGCAGTAGAGCACCCCAGTGAAAGGCAGATGACGTTATTGACGCAGCATAAGATAGGATGCCTGTAAAGCGACAGTTGGGGAGGGAGGGGGTGGCAAAACAGAGCAGTCGATTTGGTGGTAATGGATAACCTCCTAGAGAACATAGACTGCCCAAGCCAATTTCCATCGGTCTGGACGCGCAAGTCGTTCGCACACAACCAAGATAACAGGGATAGATCTAACAGTAGCTGACATAATTTATCCCCTGGGCGGAGTTAAAAAGAACAGCCCAAAAGTGTGTCTGGCTAGGTGGCAGAGAATACAGGTATGCGAGTCTACAATCACATGGGCGACAGCATAGCAAACTGCAAGAGCAACGGGTTTTGCCCGAAGAACTCGCCGAAATATCTCAAAAATGGAAAGCGAAGAATCGCTACATCCAATCTTAAATTAGTAGTTTCCCGTTATAATTTGGGATAATTAGAGGCGAGAGTATAGTTTGTACCAGGGGTAAGAAACAGGTAACCTGAGCGGCCTGTTAAACGAGAATGGTATTGAGGGGCGTTATGTGGGTGGGGCCATCGGACGCACGGAAAAGGAGATGGGGAAGCAGAGAAGAAAATTACATCGGAAACCTAATGCGCTTTGAAGGTAAACGGCAATTAAGCTCACAAATTCGAAAAAGTGACCAAAAACGGTAGTTTGGGAAATCTTGGCAACTGAATAAGACACCGTCAAGTAAATAACTGAAGCGCAGGTTCCAGGCGAAATAGCGGCCAATTATACTTGGTCGCAGGCGGTAAGTGACGTGCAAATAACGCAGATAGGAAATTATACTAGAAAACGCACTAACAGACAAGAATCTACAAAATATGCCAGCGAAGGACAAGAGGGAACTCATAAAAGGTAAGCTAAATAACGGTAAGAAATAATAAAAACAAACGTCAAGTCTACTGATGTAAAGACGTATGGCTTAGAAATAAATATATGCATATATGCATTAGCAATAAGTCCCGGTATATAACGTAGATATCAGGGCGAAAACAAAGTTTCAACTGGAATACTGAAGTTCAGAAAGTCAAGTTGCCCATGCAGATGTAAACATCAGCATCTGCGAGGTGGTAGTTTCAATAATAATGATAGTGATAAACTATAAACTAGTCCTTTTTATACGCAGACGTATTGGAATCGCCTGAAAATAAAATTGCATTCAGGCCCTGTGTCAGGCCGAGCGCACATTGAAGAGATACAATATCGTCTATGGTTTGGACTAAATGACACAGGCCTAAAACAGGCATGCGAACCTTCCTGTCCCACATCGCGAATGTGTACTCCGTGTAGCAGACGAGCAATGGATAAGCCCGATGGAACTGGTACGCAAAAGTCAATTTTCTGGGCTGTAAAAAGTTTCATTTGTATAAAGTAATTTCAAAATACTCGGCCTCCGATATGCAGTAGATTGCGGACAAAACTTTTGTAAGACACCTAACACGTCCGGGGTGAGGAGTACAACAGTAAGTCTATATAGGCATTCATGCAATGTCTGGTTCTCAGGGTGGTTTGTTGCAAGGTCGAAAGCACAAGCTGATGAAAGACAGCCTAAAGACGGATTTGAATGGGTACAGAGCAGCCTTTGGGCCAGGAAGGACTCGTCCCGACTGAACAATACCTAAATTGACCTTACACTGTTCAATTGGCTCGTCAAATACGCAACGTTGCAACGGTCTCTGATGATGGGTTCGAGTGAGAATCCGAAACGCAGGCCAATCAACCTCTTGTTCCAGCCATCGCATCTTCTTCTTCTGAACTGCTTCCTGAAATTCGCCTCTTCGCTTCTATTAGTGACCATGTCTGAGATTTTATTTAAAACCCTACAACTAAGTAAAATAGTGGCGACGAGGAAAAGCATAAATTAAACAGTATGGTTCTTGTAATCGACGTCTGGAGGAGCTGTCAGCAAAATTCTGGTTACAGAGTAGATTTATGGCAAAAATGCTTTTATAACTGAATTAGCAACGTTAAATGAAAAATGGCGGAAAATTGCAAATAAAGATGTTGGTGGTTCGAAATCTGACCGAAATATGGGCATCATTCTTTGTACTTTGAGAAAAACTTTGTATTTCACAACTGAAATGTTCAGAAATTGAAGAACGGAACTCCGAGAGCATGTGTAGTGGCATCAGGGGTTCAGATTCTACCGGAAGTCGACTATTACAGAAGATGGATAAGATAACATACAGTTGCAGAATCGTCTCAGTGGACTTCATAAGCTGCTTAAACGTGCGTCACAGATGAAGTGCGTGTGTACAAAAGTATGTGATGCGAGCGCATCTAGCTAGGAGTTCAGAAACGGTCGCTATTTAGGGGAAAAAGCAATTAGACGCACCGCTAGTTTTTGAGAAGAAATTGTAAAATGCAACTAGTTTTGTCCATATATAGGGCGTGTGCGAAAGGAAATGAAGTACTTCTACTCTCGGGTGTAATAAACGCTCGTATCCGGCCAGCGTACTCTGACGATTGTTCAGAATTCATTAACGTATATGCTCCAGAGTAAGGCGAGCCCATTAAGAAAACCGGTCCTAAGATTGGTGAAGCCAAATATCATAAAAACCTTACAGTTAATAGACTTCGAAACGACACAAATGCAGAGGCCTACAGGGAAGAACAGACGATGCGGCCCGCTTCTGTGGTGTCTGAGACCTTGCTTCGGGCGTTTTCGTTCTAGAGCTGGGTCGGATGGCTTCTTTGAGACTCGAGTGTCTGCCATCAATGGGCGTGGCGGTGGCTGACCTTGACGAGCGGGGCAGCTGGGTCTAAAATGAAAAGTTTCATTAAGTCACGACAAGGTCTCAAAATAAAGTGTGATAATTTCTGAACAGGGTACATTTATAAGAACAGAGTATGCAACAAGGGTTTGAAGCATCGGAGAAAAAGAAAAGTGAGTGATTACCCTATCCGGACAGGGTTTCTCTTTGATTTTAATGGACTCCGCCTTTGGTGTCACTGGTCGGGAAACCTCCTTAGGTTTGCTTACAGGAGTGCGTCGGGACTGAGCAGTACCTATCGGATTACCATCAAAGACGCTGGGTCTTTCAGAGGGTGCGGTCAGGATCAGTTCCGCATTGTCACCCGCAGCTGTCGAGCGTGTGTGGTGCTTTGCTGTCCGGTTCATGTGCATCTGCTGAGCATCGATAACTTTCTGCTTTTCCTAAATAAAAAACAAGCTTGAATCTGTTGTTTTCGCACAGAGTAGCACATTCATTTGGCGTAAAAACATGCACAAATAAATTTTCCACAAAAAAGGGAATTGGAACTGAAGGCAGCAGTGCTAAAGTCGTTAAGAAAAAGGGAAGCATCCATTTTAACATGTCCTAGTTCCCAGCGGTTCCGCCTGCCTACCGTATACGCGTCTAATATGAAGTATTAATGGTGCGGATAGTGTTTATTTAGATAAAGCCTTGACTGCATAAATATGGTGAAAGAGGAGGCGTTCACGGACCACGTTACGGAACATATTCTTCTGCCTAAGATACATAATGGTGGCCAGTGCGATGACTTCGTACAAATTACATACTAATCATCTGCACGCAGTACCAGAGTACATGAATAAAGACGGCACGTTTGCTGTTTTTAAACTCGACATTTTCTGTCGCCTGATAATAAAAAGATTCGTCTTTCGCAATGAAGACAAAAACCTCATGGATCAGTATCCCAGATCCGAAAAAATTAGGTAATGTCCTTTTGGAGGCATAACCAAATTGGGCTGCACACAGTAGGAAACCCTCGCCACAAACCAAATTCAGTGACACCGACCAGTTATTGGATAAGCCTCATCAATGTCAAATTATTCCTTACTGTCAGTGATTCGCGTTGGCGTCTTAATTAGTTTACTAATAACTGATCAAAAATAGAAGACATGCTTGTAAGTACGCCACGTTATATCGCTTAGGTCTAACGGCCAAATCGTTGTCTGAGATGCAGACGGTCTTGATGGCGCATACCAGAAAAGAACCATGAGTTTCAATAGTGCACTTATTTAAAATTATAAACAGGTCAGGCCAAAAACGAAACCGGGCAAACCTGCAGTGATAGTTGAAGCTCACGGACGGATTCCGACAACTTCGACACCGTAAACTGCAGTTCCTTCTGCGTCCTGAGAAGACGATTGCGCTCACATCGCTGATTTTTCTCGAGGTTGGCAATATACTTTTCGAGCGACTATGACACAAGTAAGACAGTTAAAGAATGGTTATAACCAAAAAAGTCGAAAAAATGATGCAGAATCAAATAAAGTAGAACAGGCGTCTATGTATGGAAGAAGTTCGGTTGTAGTCCTTTAAAGTGGCGCTTATTTTCAGTACAGTGGAGCTCGTAAACGAGCAATGGTCTTTAAAAGTCAACAGATATATACTCTTTCCTGGAGGGTGGTATGCGCCAAAAACACAAAGTGACAGACAAAAAAAGAAGGTATATTGGTTCCCGAACCCCTGGTAAATTAGTTTGGATTTTTGGACTAGATGAACCAGAAAGCCCATAAAAACACAGCAAATGATTCAGATATGGATCTCTAATTTCGTTTCCATCAAATATCTGCGATTCGTCCCTTTACTCATATCAGTAAAAATCTTTAATCACATCCTGAAGTGTAAACAGTCTTTCGAAAGCATTTTATGCTTAATTTGCCCATGATGCCCGGGCAGCTAGCTAATAAAATAAGGATACGATAAAAAGCAAAAAGCGACTCAGGGATAATATAGAAAGTTTACTGCGTCGCGCGACAATACAAAGTTGATTAGTAATGCAGCAAAGATCGAGGAAGACTTAGTCTCCTACAAAGTCCTTAGAATTTTTGACAGAACAAATTGGTGGGATTTTAAAATGGGTCATTGAACCAAATGTTTTCTCAAGATCTACGGGAAAACTTATCATGTCCCCTTTTCGCTGACGCAGAGGATGAATGCTGTAACGTACATAGTGTGGCAGCACGAACGCCATTTTCAGCGAATCTCTCCAAGTCTTGTAGAAAAAGGCCGTTAATAAAAGAAATGCTTGCCAAAGTAGGCATAAATTCTTCTCATACTGATTTCCTCACAGCAATCGGTCAGCAAGTTACGACTTAGATGCGAATAAAACAACACCATTAAAAACCCCATTTCTTGGTGAAGGTGCTAGGGCCCGGAATGGCGCGTATGGCATTCATGGAAAACTTCAGTACATAGTTGAGTTCCACTGACTGACATCATTTCTGCCGAATAAATCTGGAATTAATTGTTACAGTGGTCTCACTTTTCCAAATGAACTTAGAATGAACCCCATGTAACACTGAAGTATTAGGAACTTGATGCAAATCAAACTTCTTAGTTTGATGCGAAGTACATTAGACGTCTATTAACTGTGGATGGAACGTACAGCGGTCGACTTCTCCTGAAGATCCAATTCTCCTTGCAATCTTGACACAGCGGCAAGCAATTCTTCCCTTTCTGGTAGATGCTTTTCGAAGGCAAGTCCGCGCAAATGCTGAAGCTCGTCTTCTGCTTTTTGTCGGGCGAGTTCAGCCTCCTGTCGAGCCTTATTTGTTCTCATGAATATTTCTTTAAGACGTCGCAGCTGTTCACGATATATACGTATTTCCTCCATCTGGCTGTTCATTAGCGAAGGTAACTTGGCATTTTTCCCATCGAGCTAAAACATTCAGAATTGCTTTGGAACATCATTTTAGGGGTTACTTGAAAGAAAACACAGACGCAAAACCTGTATACATAAAAATGCATTAGCAGAGTATTTCCAAAAACTACATCTAAGGAATTCAAATGGTCGACAGCTAACCACGCACACCTGCCAGTAAGAGACGCAAAAAGTTAAATTGAATTGGACTCGGGTGATTTTGTGTTTACCTAGGAAAGAAGCGTGCTAAATGCACATAAATGGAGTCGGATTTCTCTCCGAGATGTTGTCGGCCGGACTCGATACATCAACTCCAAAATGTAGACTGAGAGAACAAAAACCCCCATGCTGAAAATTGTCACAAGGAAAGAAGCTATTTCTCCAACAGAAGACGGCCGATATTTAAACTAAAAGACTATCTAGAACATTGGCTATAAGAAGCAGGCACACATGGAGACATGGCGCACTAATTCATTGGCCTTCTGGTCTTAACTATAACAAAGGTCTATAACTGAAAATATAAGTGACGGTGTTTTACTTTTTGTTGCTGTCAATTAACATCGTACGTATTCTTAAGAATAGAAGTCCTTGGTAAACTCTTAAGAAAATGCGGCAAAGTGGAAGATTGCCAAAGAAAGTGACACACGCGAAGGACTTATCACATGGATGTAAAATGAGTGAGCCTAATTTCCACTTATCGGACGAAACAAATCTCAGCTAAAATAAATAAAATATATTCCGTCGCGAGCAAGCCTTTGGTAGGAAATGCATACGACTGAATCTAAAACAGAGACTTTCACAAATTCCAAAATAGACACAGAAATAATCGAATCCAATTGATGCAACCGGGAGAGAATCATGATCTGAACTGTTAATTGGAAACCAGAAGGACACTATTCAACAATCGTTAGACTAGATAAAGAACAAATATACGTATTCCATTTATTTGATCTCAAAAACCTTCCAAAACAATTCAAACGTTTGCTGAGTGAATACGTTGGAGGCGTAATGAATTTTGGTATTTTGGAGGTTTACAGGTCCTCTATGACGAATGCGCCGGGGTGTAGTAGAATGTTATAGTCTAAATAAGTATTACAGGAACCATAATTCCAATGTTGGTAAGGGTTTACTCAAATATATAATAAAGTTCTTTGATGGTAACCTCTAGTATAACGTGATTCTGCTCACATTCTTTGTGATTCTGATTCTGGTAGGTTTGCAATATTTATGAAGAAATCAGTTCAGGGACGCATAGTTACTCTATTCCTAAATGTAAGTTTATTGACGCAATTAAGCTGCAAAGGGATATCTCAAGAGTATGGAAATGATACTTCTACTTTCGGAAGTCTTAATAGAAGAACGATAGATGATGACTGCTAAAGAAGTCTGACGTCATCTTTGGTAATTTGTACCCAAAGTTTCAGGAGAATGCTGAGAAGACAAATTAATATTATAACAAACTTGATGGTTTAGGTCGAACAAACATATTAAGGTGTCCTTCAAACTTGTATACAGAGTTCTGAGTGAAAAGGGGTTTGTTGGATGCTGTTAGAAGCAAATGATTCAGAAAATATTAGAAAGCACCGAAGTAAAAATTCGCAAACTCCCAATCAAACACTTTTGCTCTTCGGGTCACAGTCCTTAACTTAAAATATACTACCAACTGCCTGTCGACAGTTACTGAATATTACGCGGTTTCCCGCTGTGGCTGATGAACTTTGGCCCAAATATTCATACATTAACATTTTGGTCTGTGCCTATGGACCTAGAATATACTGATTAATTTAAAGTTTGCAGTAAATTTATGAGGAAATTGGAAAGTAACAGTTTCTAAATTGAAATATTCCCCAGAAAACAAACAAGGAATACTGATATGCGCGTTGATGAGCCGAACCCCTCGTAAATGTGTCATGCAGCGGCAGCATATCGGATAAACACGCATGTATAGGTTTTGGACTAGTATCTGTGCTGTTAGTATGGTATCCCCTTGCCCTAAAACACCCCTTTACTATTGTAAAAGTAAAAAAATTAAAAAACCTTGGCCATTTTTGAATGTACTCTTGACCCACCAACCAAATAGATGAAGATTGCAAGAATAGGTGAGTTATGAAAGGTAAAAGTAATATCATTTACTTGTGCACAATGGAAAAAGTGTAATTTACAAGTTTCGCACCTCGTACCGATGATAAAGTTAAAAAAGTAGCAAATGCCACGTAACTCTCCTCAAACACTCCTATTAACGCTGATTTCTAAATAAACAACAAATTATTTAGTTCATTTTTTAAATCTCAGACTTGATTTAAATACCCGGGAGTACCAACACCTTTAGGCAAACACCCAATTGATCAGTGATTTTGTTTGGAATTGTAGGCAAATTTTAAACGTTGGATTGTTTGCAATTAGCCAACATCAATTGTTCTTGGGTGTCTGATAAGAACTGCAAAAATTTGGGCAGTTCTGATCTATATGCAAGGCTGATTAACACAGGGAGTGTTTGTGTCATACATGTGAGTCAAAACCGTACTTTGCTACGTGAAATTGCTTTACTGTGGGTGTGTGACTGTCCACTTGTTGCGACATGGGCATTTAACCTATTTATCCTATTTCTTCTTACCTAAATCGAAATTTATATGCCCCACTTTTCATAGATGGCAGACCACGGTAAAACTCTTATTTACATACGACTTATATGATTTGGTTTTAAATCAATAAGACTGGACATCTCGGCCATTATTACGAGCGCCTATTTGTTAAATGGCTTGTCGGATAAAATAAGTGAGAAGTGGGACCCTCACTAACTACTGTTCAGACTGACATTGTGTTTCAGATAAAATTCCAAGACTAGATGCAAGGAATGAGAATACGTTGTCGGCAATCAAACATAGTAACAAATGATGGAAGAAAAACAGACCTTCTCAATTATTGCTGCTTGCATTTGCGCCTGCTCACGAAGAAAACGATTATCTTCCATTACCACAGCCATCTTCCGGCGTAGCTCGTCGATTTCACATTGTTGATCGCACATAGTTCTGTGCTTCGCGCTGAGGATCCGCTGCATTAATTCATTAGCTCGGCGCCTGTCTTCTCTAAGACAAGATGCTTTCCAGTCGTTTTGCAACTGCTTTTTTTTCTTCTTGGTTCTAGCTAGAGAAAAACTCTGAAAGAAGCCGTTCTTACACGAAACCTCAGGAGCGTTGTCATATGTTGTTTCCTTGTCTGAAGTTCCCATTTCGCATGAAATTTCTGTGACTTTTGCAGCTCCGAAATTCATTTTTATTTAACGGCGGCCACCGAGCGATAATATGATGAGGTCACAGAAACCGAAAGGAAACTCAAACTGCCTCCACCTTCAATATCTATAGGTTTTTAAATAGAATAAACAAACGAACGATCGTTTGCATAACACGTCGCAAATAGTTGTATAAACTAACATGAATAAATGTTGAAAAGTGAGACCTAAGGAAATTTTTTATCTTGCAGAGTTAAAATATTGTTCACGGAAGGTTGGTTTGTGTTTACATACAAGTGCTTAGTAAAGTTTCCATTTCTAGTTCACGTATGTTATTATTCGAGAATTTCCAAAGCTCTAAATGTTACGCTCCCCCTCTGAGATACTCTGTGTTGGCGTGACTCCCAGTAATCATAATTTTAATTAACGACCTAGAGCGAACTTTAGTGGATACAACTAAGGTGTTTAACAACGGAAACTGAGCAGGTTAAGCGGAAAAATAATTGAGCAGTTTTTAAAAAGACCAAACTATATTAAGAAAAAACAAGAAGCTAACATGCATTTGTATAATCGAATAGCACTTTCGGTTTTTTATTGCACAGAATGTGATTCGCCCTCCCTCCCAATGTGTACAGTGGTGCCTTGCACCTTCATTTGCATGGTCGAGCATTTGTCCAATGCATCTCTCAGTTCCATTTTACACCAAAAGTTTGGCATACAAGAAGCATTAAAATGAGCGGATTTGGGCGAGGAGCTGGAGAAAGTTGGTTTGCACTTAAACGAGAGAAGCATATATACAACCTCTAACTCCTCACGTAGCAGGCATCACTCGGGTGGGCATCTGAAGCTTATGGCGGCGGAAGCGCTGTAATGATTGTGCATGCTGTCTGACCATCAGTTCTGCGCAGGATTACATTAGTCTGTCAGGTTGCATCCTAATAGCTTCGCACCCTGTTTAGCTGTTGTAATGGTGGACCAAAAACTAAATACATGCGGGACCGAGCCGACTCCATTTTATCTTTTACATATACTCGTGGCTGACAATATTAAACTAACTAGGCAGGCGTTTGAACGCACCGGCCGTCATATCGTGCTGCTGTTGTCGGACGTACGTTATACACGCCTTGAATATCATTAAGATCATCCTTATTTATTGATGAAGACTATCCTTCAGTCTCTGGATACCCAACGGCACTGTGTACGGAAAAACTAAGTGTCCAATTTAATCCGGCTTTGTCGAGTGAGATTCGGATTCTCAACTTGGAATTCAAAATGTTTTACAACGAAAAATTCGGGAAATAAATCATAAAACATGCACAAGAAACACGAGGAAAGTTCTCAAATAAGCAAACGTCTCCAAGTGTCCTCAGCATTGTAGGAAAAATATCCAAAGGCTCATGCAAAGAACGTTAGCCAGTCTACGGATACGAAGCTGCAGAGACAGTGTCCGTATAATGTGGGCATTAATAAAAAAAATGGGATTCATTCTCTTATCCTTTTGGTCCATTTTAGTCATCAGTGGGGAGGGCAACCCACGATTCCGTAGACCTTTTGGAGGAGACAATCTGCACATTATGCAGTTCAATATAGTTTAAATATATTTATGGGTGATAGGAAACGCCTTTAAAGACCCTATTGACAAACGTGCATACAATATTCAACTCCGAATAGACATGTTACTACAAAGTTCCAAGTAAAACTTAAGAATTGCATAATCTCGCCTTTAAAAATGTGGCGTTGCAATCCGGGCACCCTTTGTCGTGGATGATAATGTCAAATACGAAATTGAAATAATCCACATTAGCAGTATGCGCATGCAAGGCGTTGGTGGTGTATAAGAGAGCTGTCTTGTCCAGTAAAATGTTATTTGCAACTAAATAAACATGTGGTTTTTCGTCAAATTTCTCAGTTGAGTCCGCCATAATCACTTCCTCGAGAAGTTCGCTCCAGGCGCCGAGAACTCGCTACGAACTCGAGCACCTACGAACATCCAGGTGGGGTCGGGCACCTGGAAGTTTGAAGGAGTTCCCAATAAGGTTTGTTGATTTGGCCAAAACGGAGTAATCATCCAAGTGCATGGCCCAGTCCTGTTTCCTCACAGCCGGCAGGTCTGTACGAGAACTCCTCAAGTATGTCTGTACTTAAAAGGAAATAGGTTAAGCTCGTCAACTCCGCGTCTGAAAGATAAACCCTTGAGACCTTTTGAAATTTTGGTTGCCCTCCCTCGAACCCCAGTCAGCAACTTAGAAGCAATGGCTTTGGTTAAACATCAACAGAAGAAAGCAAGAATAAGAGACGGGTTTTTTCCATGAGAGGTCACTTCGTTTGGTGGTCCAGGGGTCCCTGTGGTTACTGGCGACACCCCAAAGGGATGAGGCGAGCAGGACCTTCTGACGTTTCAACATTTACTAACTGACACCCAAGAATCCGGTGAGGCAGTTGAAATACAAAAGATGTTTTGTTGGGACCTGTAGTTATAGGTAGTACAGAGGAAATGCGGCAAAAACCCCTGTAGGTCGTCTTGGGAAGCAAGCAGCAGGCAGATCTAATCTTGAAGGAGACATGATCGCTGGGACATTCTGCCATGCTGAAAAGCTGCTCGTCTCGCCCAATCCGTGTTTACTCGGGGCTCGTATGAAGCGCATTTCGGCCACGTTTTACTGTTGAGACATCTATGAAGAAACAGGATCTGCGGATACGTACAGGCTTCTCAAAGGGTGAAGGTTTCCCATCGTCGCACCAATCGGAAAGAATCGCGCCCAAATACATTGTTCATACCTTGCCACTCCTTTTTCATGACTGCTTCCTGGAACTCGTGTCTTCGGTTCTGTTGGCAGGTCCAGTTTTGTCTCGAAAATCCAGATTACGGTAATAACAAGTGTGGAGTATTTTTTCAGCCATACTACTCTTTCATCAATCAAATGAAAAGGAGAATACGGATAACAGAGCAGGAAAGGCGTCAGAGCGAGGGAGAAATAAATCCGAAGACTGTAGACAACGAAGTCATAAAAACTGAACGCAAATCTCCATGGAATCATCCAGTGAAATTAACGGTTGCCACACCAGTCATAAGTTCCATTGAACAGTTGTAAATTTGAAGACGGGCAGTGAACTGGATATGTCGGGAAAATACTCAGCAACTCCTGTCAGACGCAACGACCAGCAAACAATTTGCAGAGACCGAGAGAACCAAAAAATATGATAATGATGCACAAAAATGTAAAGTCTCTTCAACAAAATGGATAAACTAAACGGACTGTAGCCCATTTGCAACCTGACTTCATAGGCTTAACTGAAACATGGTTGAATGAGCAGATAACTGATGCAGAAGTCATTCTGGAGGGATTTTAATTTATCCGCATGAATCGGAATGGAAGTATGGGGTAAGGGAATCGCGATGCTCATACGGGACGGCATTAGCTACGTCACGGATGGGACTTCATCAAAAAAAGACACTGGCTGCGAACTCCTTAGTTGGAAATTGAAAGAAACCAATTCAACCGGACTTCCATATTGTGCTGGTATACAGACCCTGAGGACAGCGGAAGAATAGGAACAATGCCCTCGTCAAAGGGTTAAGACAGACCAGCCGTAAAATACACGCAATAATGCTTGGAGATACAAGCGAAGATGCGAGTTCCAGGAACTAGTTGATCAGAAGAAGAAGCAATCGCTGGAACAATGGCTTTATTCGCCTGACGTTTCGGATTCTCTCTTGAATCCATCATCAGAGACAGTTGCAGAAAGTGGTGGCTCGTGTACAGGAAGTCGCAGTATTTATAGGATGCGGTCGCCATGCTACCGCATACCCACAGCAATTAACCGTGCTTCCCTTAATCAAGGATTGTTGCCCACTGGTGTGCTAATTGCTTGATGGCCGGCATGCAAGTTGTTCATTGCTGACATCTCATCACCCGTGTTGGATGCTGGCGTGATGATTGCTCGGCTATCTGGCTCACCGGCTTGCGCGCTCCTCGAGTGGTCAATTGCTTTGGCCAGTCTATGCCTCAGCACAGAATACGGAGTGGGGATGTCGTCGCACTTGTTGATAGACTGAGGTCCCGTGAACCATGACTCAAGCAACTCGCGGCTCACGCGATTATTCCCTCTCGCGAGAATTTCGGTCTCATCGAACTTGAATGTGTGGCCGGGTCCCGTCGAATGGGCCGCAACCTGAGAGTTGGCGTCATTTCTCCGTACAGCTGCCACGTGTTCGGCGATTCGCGTCCGGAGCAGTCTTCCAGTTTCTCCGACGTAGTTGCTTTGTCCGCAACTGCACCAGATCCGGTAAACGATTTCAGATGTTTCTTGCCGTGGCAGTGGGTCTTTTGGTCTCATCACTTGAGGCCTCATGGTGGCCTGCGGTCTGTGCGCAACTCCAACCCCAAGTGGTGCAAGAAGGCGACTAAAGGCCTCGGAGACGTTCTTGATGTACGGGATCGCTCGCCAGAATTTGGGGTCGGCGCGATTTTGTCGCTCGTCTCGGTTGCGCAGGCACCGGTTGACGAAGTTGCGCGGGTAACCATTTTCTCTGAAAACCCGTCGAAGATATTGGGATTCGGCAACCTTGTCTTCCGGTTCACTGCAGTGCGTCTCAACACGCCGAAATAGCGTTCTTACGCAACTGCGTTTGTGGCTGATTGGGTGGTTACTGTTGAAAATCAGAAGTAGCGTCGTGTTCGTTGCTTTTCTGAACACTTTGGTCTTTAGGCCACCACAATCTTTGTGACAGACGAGGACATCAAGGAATGCCAGCTGGTTATTTTCTTCCTCCTCCATCGTAAATTGTATGTCCGGGAAGACGCTGTTGAGACGTTCTTTGAACGTTAGCATCTGGTCCCGTTCGATGACGACGAAGGTATCGTCCGCATACCGAGCCCAGAATTTCGGTCTGTGGTGTTGGAAGACGAGCGATTCCAACCGCTGTAGGACCACCTCAGCGAATAGACATATAGAGGAGAATAGTTTGCTTGGTGCGCAACAACATGGATTTAGAGGTGGTTGATCCTGACTCACTAACCTGCTCACATCAATGGAAAGTAGACGGGGCTCTTAAAAATGGGTTAGTCAGCAAATGCGGTCCACATTGACTTCAGCAAGGCCTTTAACAGTGTGCCACACAAACGACTCATATCTAAACTATGCCAAATAGGAATGACTGGTAACCTACTCACATGGTTGGCCGGCTTCCTCACAGGCCGACGTCAGCGTGTGTGCATTGTTAACGTCGAATCGGAGTGGGAAATCGTTAACAGCGGGGTTCTGCAAAGGAGCGTCCTGGGTCCCATCCTGTTGTTGATATATGCGAACGGTTGTCAAGATTGCCTAGCCTTTGAGAAGGTAATGTTTGCTGATGATCTGCTGATGGAATCTGACTGTAGATAAGAGAATGCGCTTAACTTGTAAAACAATTTACATAGACTGCAACAGTGGTGGGATGAATGGCTCCTCAACCTCACTTTCATCAAATGCCAATTCATCTGACTAAGGTCTACTTACAGAAAGGATTTGAGATTTGCATTCAGAAAAGCTCTCACAAATTTTGGGTGCTGAAAACTCTGATCGACTGTACCGTAGCGATGGCGTTTGTGGTCTCTGAGTACTATGGCCGGTCTCACCAGCTGTTCCTCAACGCCTCTACTTTGGCTATTCCCAACTTCATGAAAGGAATTTGACGTCCGAACATCTCCGATACCGTGCAACCTCCCCCCTTCTTGACGGTCGATATTCTACCACCGCCGGCAGTTTTTTATCCTGAGCCCTCCAAACCATAAAAACCACCATCAACTATATTTTTATCCCTTTAGCTCAGGAGTTTTATTCACTGCCGGTCGGATTTATGTTTAAACGCTTCCCTTGACAATGCCTGTAAACTGGCAATAAATAAAAATTTATTTATTTATTTATTTATATTTATATATGGATATCTGCGTTTTCCGAAAGTCACGAAGTCGAGCTTGTAAATGAGGTGAGACACCCAAGTGTGTGTGGATAGCATCGACTCTCGAACCATTGTCTCCCACCTTAACTTTGACGAAAAGCTTTTCGGTCAACCGTTGGAACATTCATCGTGCCGGTTTTGGAACACGGCATACAGGCACGGCGCCCATGGATGTAGCAAGATTACACTATCCTGGAGAAGGTGTAACAAAGGACGACCAGACTTCTCGGTGGGCTGAAGAGCCTATCTTACGGTAAAAGGCTAAAAAGATTCAAATATTATCCCCTCTTATAAGAATGTACAGAGGGGACACGATCATGGTCTTCAAACTCGTCAGAAGAGTAGACTATAAACTTAAATTGGCCGGTTTTTTTAAACTAGAACAAACGATAACTCTCCGAGGTCCCAGAGGCAATTCCCCCGCTCTTTCCCCACTTCCAACACAGGGAGCCCTAAAGGTTCTTCCTTCCCTCCCCTGCCCCACAGCCTACCATATCTCGGTGCCCACCCCTCAAACGTTTGTCGCTGTCTGTTCTGTCGCGCCAGCCGACCTAGTCTGCCGATCTCACTTTCTGGTCCGTTTATTTCGTTTGACGACGGGTCGGTATCACTGACTTGAAAATTTACGAGTCCAACTCGATTTTGCGAAGAGCCTTCCGTTTCGTGTCCTCCGGATAGCCCGAATGGGACACATGAAAATCCGTCTACATCAGCTAGACCGATAACTTCTCCTCTTTAAATGGGTGCTGCAAGGTCTACAGTTAAGTCACCCGTGGCTTGGCGTAAGACTTCAAAACTAAATCAGACTCCGATATAAAAGAAAGGGAGTACAGTTCCATTTAGGGGTACGCCGCCGTCTCTTATATCTACCAAGTCTTTACAGCCCAGCAAGTCTACAAACCCCACAGCTCCAATAATATTCGCAAATAATTCTCTGTCCTGCGTACCAGTTACCTATCAAAGCCCTTCTATATATCCAGCAAATAATTCATACGTGAATTGCCCTAAGTCATTTATGACCCAACCTAGTTCAGGCTTCCTACCACTTAAGGCCAATTACTCTTAGGTTCGTCAACCTACCTTCGTTGATTTTCAACCTAGACCTGGTTTCCCGCCCTTTATTCTTATAGCTGGCAACCCTCACTCACCAGTGTCTACTTTCCTTCTAGGCTCCCTCCTCCTCCTCCTCCTCCTCCTCCTCCTCCTCCTCCTCCTTCTCCTCCACAATTTAACTATTAACAAGACTATCCCTGTTCTAACTCCACTAGCATTCCGATTCTCGAAAACTATATCCCCACATATTTTAGGTCTGATACTCAGCCTTCTCTTGTTGACCCCCCGTACGTCAATAACTCTAGACTAACTGGTACTTATTCTCCAAACATCATTAATTTAGAACTCACATATCCGCCCCCAATTTTTTCTAAATACCGTCGAAAATAACACTGCTATTCGAAACACATTAGATATTATATTATTGAATGCCAGGTCAGTTATAAACAAGATGGCCCAAATCAGAGCCATTGCTCTCGAAATGACGCCTGATATTATATGCGCAACAGAATCTTGGACCAATTCTCTAATTCCTGACTCTGTCCTACTCATCGATGACTTCGATTTTTACCGTCAAGACCGCACGACTAGGCGTGGGGACGGTTGTTATCTTTATCATAGATCCTACCTAAAGCACTCCCCCTATTACTAGGATCTTTCCTCATTCACGGGAAACTTCTGCTTCGCATCTGTTATTCTCTCGCCGCAAGGAAAGGCAATTATTGGCTGTATCTACAATCCCCCAAATTCTTTAGCCAGTGATGATTCACAACTCTGTAAAATCTTCAAATTAATTTCGGAAGCTGCTTTCGATGTTAAAATAATCACTGGGGATTTTAACCTTCAGGAAATGGACTGGGCTCCCAATAGCTGTCCACCTAGATTCCAGCCCTTTCAAGATATTGTCAATTTTTCTAAATGGTCCCAACTGGAGCGCTCTCCAACAATGGATAACCACATTTTAGATCTAATCTTTACTAATGACATTGCTCCTCATTTTGCTGCTTTAAAAAAGGACCTCTTTGACAGTGACCACGTATTAATTCATTGTTCATCCCCGCTTGCCTATTCAAAAAAGACAAGCGCCGTTCAGACTTACATGAACTACGACTGCGTAGATAACGACTTAATACGTAACCGTATTAGATCATTGGATTGGTGTGGCCTCCTCCTCTGAAGCGATGCAACCATTCTTCGTGACGTCATGTCCAATGTTTCCAAGGACATCCTAGAGTTTGTGCCGCGTACATATATCAGGCCTAATCCTTTATATTCCCTTGTCCCTCATTTTCTTCACAAGCGACTAAGGAAGTTGAGACGGCAGCTGCGCGACCCAGCCTTTAGTTCCATATCAGTTAATCTTAGAATCACACATATTTTTTTAAATGGCCTCAAGCATGCGCCAAACGCGCGAAAGGCAAAGAGAATCACTTGCACTCAGTGATTCGAACCCTGGCAAATCCGTCGCCAACATCTTCCGTCATCGGTCCTCCTCTAAGCGTGGTCACTAACTTCCGCCTCTGCTAAATGATAACAAAGTCTTCCTCATCGATCACACTGACAAGGCGGAGTTGTTTAGTTCTTTCTTTGCAAAATACTTTAATACTGAATCCAAACCGATCCCTTTCTTCAAGTGTGGATCTCGGTCCGATGGTAATAACCGCCGGGGCGTGCACAAAACACCGTTTCTAGCAAAGCTCCTTGAAAGGATAACTTTCAATGAAATTCTTGACTTCTGTCTAGCTAATCGGCTTCTGAGTTCTAGTCAGCATGGATTTTTACCTGAATGATCCTGCGACACTTGCCACTTGCCATTTCTTAATCTAATTACTTCTCCTTGTAATGAGTAGCAGTCAGTGGTAGTTATCTACTTTGATCTTAGCAAAGCCTTTGACAAGGTGCCCCATAGACTTCTTTTAGTAAAATTGGAAGCTCTCGGCATCCGGTCGCCTCTACTCGACTTCATCAGATCCTATCTGTGCAACCGATATCAGAAAGTCATGGTCAGTAATAGCTACTTGACAGCTCACTTCATCACGTGTGGCGTACTTCAAGTCACGGTTCTGGGTCCGCTACTCTTCCTTATCTACATCAATGATAGTTCGACTGAACTCGGAAATTCGCAAATTTTTATTTATGTCGATGAACTCGAGTGTGTTTACTCATATTCTACGGACATCGCACACGTTTGCGCCGAAAATGTAAATGCCAATTTACTACGCTTAAGCAGATGGAGTTCAACATGGCAGATGGAGTTTTCATCATCCAAGTGTATTTTCATGTCTTTTGGTCCTGCCAAACTTCCTGGTCCCATAATTTTTCAGAATAACCCACTCTCAGAATGCTTCACCATAAAAGACCTAGGTCTAAGTTATACAAATAAGCTTGCTTTATCACCTCATGCAGATTGAAGCTCTGTCAAAGTCGCGCAGATATGGGAATTCATATGGCATCATTTTTTCCTTCCGGAAATAAGACTATGACTTTATCAAATGTTTGTTCTTCCAGTCCTCAAATACTGCTGTCCTTTCTTTGGTTTAATAAACGCACGTGACCGTTATAAGATCGAAAATGTTCAGAGGGTTTTCACCCGGAAACTGTTCTCCCAAGTCGCATCCGGTACATCTTATACTCAGAGATGTCAGCTGGCGAACATTAAGTTTTCGTGGGTTAGAAGACTCGTAGCTGACCTTTGCTTCCTTTTTCGCATCAACTCTAGCTCCACTCTTCCGCTCATTGACACTCTCACTCCGAGAAATCGGTCTTATGCCACGCGCAACACTTCCATGGTGATTCCGCCGCCGCCTTTTGCACTACATCTAAGCGCTCCTTCTTCTTTGCTTCCAAATATGCCTTCCTTTGGAATAATCTTCCGCCAAAAATTAGGTCATCGCCTAAGTTACTGGTATTCCAGTCGAAATTACACAAAAATCTTACACCGGAAAGCATAAAGTCACTGTTAACGGTCTCATTCCCGAACACTCAGTTTCTTGACTCCGAGAAGGGTCCCCCTGGGATTTAGTGGTAGATCTTGTGGAAACCATCATTTATATCTTTAAAACCCCCTGTTTTGAGTTGGTTACTAAGTCCACTGCTATCACTCCTCCCCCATAGTGACGATTTTCGCAGTTCTTGATGTCATCTCCCGCACTTCGACCTCATGCGGTCTGTCGACGCTCACGGCGGTAACCTCCGTATTCGCTATCTACTAGTAGTTTGGTCGTACCTCTCTTCCCCACTCCTCGGCTGTGCTCGAAGCGTACTGTGGCCGATCGCATCTGGGTTCCTCTCGTCTGGCCTGTTTGACGCGAATAGTCTCATCCGGCGTATCAATCCTGCCCTGACGATTTCAGTTCTGAATCCTGTATACAATACCACATGCAGGCCTGTCCTGTCCTACCTGCATACGTACCCCTCAAGGCTGACATTTATTTCTGCCTTGACGATGTCCGATTATAATCTGATATATACCGACGCATGCAGGCCAGTCCTGCCGGCATTTTTCTGTTATTATTTTTTTAGCGAATGGTTTTTTTCTCCTGTAAAATTAAGCCAATCATTTTTAAATTTTTAAGAAGAGTTTTTTCACCCATCGTTAGTTATTTTTCCCACTGGACTACTATTTGAGAAACTATGGGTTGCATTTTGTGCAGATACTGCCTACCTCGTCTAAAATTATATGTAAATATATTTTTACTTTCTTTGATGGGACCGCGACGGGTTAGAGGCAGAAACCTTGTTGACCCTTTTCAGGTAAAATGATTCCGCAGATTCGCATCAAAAATAAAGTCGCAGATATCTACAATGTGATCGAATCAAAGTACAATCTTAAAGATAAGGGAGCTCATCTTTTCGCTGTAAGTCAGCACGGAAGGTTTAGGTATGACAAAGAGTTTTACAGAGCTGGCTGTAAGTAGTCATGTTGTAACAGCCGGTTTCTGTTTAAAATCTAGCAAGCAAGTTTTCTTTTAAACATACAAATTATGTCGATAATCACGATCTAAATTGGTAGCAAATGCTGTAATCCGATAACCCGCTGGCTGAATGAAAACTCCCTACGTTCTATCCGCGTGTGCTCACTTTTACCTTTGGAAAGGTAACCGCGTAATGCGTTTGTACGGGTAAACTCAAAAAGTTCTCTGGTCTTGGTGCGTAACCTTTGCCAGGGACCGGAATGCAATTTCTGGATTAGTGACCGTCATCAGCTGGTCAAACACAACTCCGTTGTGTGGTTTGCCTGGGACTCGATCCCGCGACCTGTTGGTTATAAGTCCGGCGTCCAAAACATCGGTCCAGGGGCTCATTTCCCCGCTAGTTTCAATCGATTATATGCAAGGGCAGTTGGACGCCCATAGATCCTGTTATGGAACTCATTTGTTCTGAGAGAGAGAGGACGGCTTTATTTTGAAAATAACTTTCAAAACTTTCAGCAAAAACGGTTTCTCCAGTACACAGTGATTACCATAGAGATTAACAGGTTTTTGGACAGACAGGTGGACATGATTATGTATGAATAAAAAAGGACTTTAAGGTGCAAGATCGAGTTTTAGTTTTTGTTTTTCAACATCTTTGCAGGTGAGATACCGGGCTAGAAATGGCAGTATGGAATTCCGATAGGCCGAAGTGCGGCAAGGGATGTGGCGGAAGCATCGACGCGTGAGGCGTAAGGATTTCGCAGCCATTAACTCATTATGAAGGGGATGGACGGTGTCATTCAGAATTCGGTCAGCGAATTGCTCCACCGAGTTGAAATGTCGCTGCACGATGATATCAACTAAAAGATGATAGGAAACACCAGCAGCAGAGGCGAGCATTCGAATGACACGTTAAAAAATAATTAGATCTTTTTTAAGTAAAGCTGGAAAAATAACTGGAGAACAATAAAGAATGAGTGGAAGAATACAGCCATCTATGAATCGCCAGATTAAGGACTGGGGTGTGTGATATGAACGTAGACGACGAATATAATAAACAAGTTTTTGAATTTTTGTTAAAAGGGTTTCCATATGAAGAGAGAAAGAGAGATTTGAGGATAAAGTAACACCTAGGTACCGGAAAGAAGATACCTCATTGGGAAGAATATCCAAAGGTTCAGGAATAGGAGAGGGTCGCAATCGAAACACACACTGTACTGATTTCTGATTGTTGAGTAGGAGTCCATTATTCGAAGACCATGCGGAGACGTGGTCTAAGCCATCCTTTAAAGACTGTAGGTGAGTCAGGTTTTTGAGTGGGTGGCCGACGACCATGTCATCGGCATACTTAACATACAGGCAGTCGTTTGGCGATCTCAAATCATCAGTATGTAGGGAGAAAAGATGAGGGGATAAGATAGAACCTTATAGAACTCCACAATTGTTTGGAAGAATAGAAGATTTTCTCCTTCCCGACTGGACAAACTGAGTGCGGGAGGAAAAATAATCTCTAAGCCAAGAGACAACCCAGCTTGGAGTGTCGCACGCAGCTGCTTTGGTCAGGAGGAGTTGGCGCGGGATAGTGTTGAAGGCGGATGAGTAGTCGAGAAAAGCACATGCATATGCACGGCATCCCTTGTCTAAGTCTCTCAAAGCTGAATGAACAACCAAAGCAACAGCATCCAAGGTGCTACGCTTTGCCTTGTATGCAAATTGTAGAGGATCAGAAAAATTGACAGAGGAGAACTTAAGGGAATCTAATGCAACTCGTTCAGTAAGTTTCAGGAGTGCAGAAGAGCAGGCAATAGGACGGAAAGATTTAGGAGCAAAAGTTAAAGATTTTTTAGGGATTGGAGTAATTCTTACTGTACGCCAGGCGTCAGGAATCTTGGACTCTATGAAGGATAGATTAATAAGGTGGGTCAAGACGGGAGCTATCTGCGAACAGCAAGACTTAAGGAGAAAAGGAGAGACACCGTCCGGCCCAGCCGCCGTTGACCCGCGAATCTTTTTGAGATGGTGTTCCACTGTTGTCACAGTCACAGGAGTGAAGTCACATGGTGGTAGGTAAATTTCGTTTGGGCGTGAAGTGGAGTCGTTAGAAGTACAGATAAAATTCCGATTTAAAGAGTTTAAATCTACGTCAATGGGTTCAAGTATATTACGTTGACCAGTGAGACGCTTGAGATTCCTCCACAGTTCAGCAGAACGAAAAGGAGAGGAGGGGGTGGATGAAGTAGAAAAAAGTTGACTAACGAATAAACCGTTAAGTCTGGCAATTTCGTTCTTTATTAAAACATTGATATCCTTCACCTTGTCACGCTGAACTAGTTTGTAAAAGGTTTCTTTGCGACGTCTCAAATGTTTGAGGTATGGTGAGGAGATTCTGTCAGGCCTGACCATAACAGTTTCACGGGGACACCACCACTCGAGCACCGCCAGTAGCCACATAATTCTTACCATTTCCAAAGAACCTGATGCGAGACTACTGGTGGGGCTCGAGAAAGAGAGTTGCAAGTTATTGTGCATTGAGTGAGTTTTATAGCGCGATCAGTGATCGCGAAACTGCCATTAAGTGTCCATAACTTAGAAGGCACTCACAGATCGCGCTACGGGACACACTCGTCTGATGTGCCTCGCAAATATTTTGACAATCCGTTTTTTGGTGCTTGCTCATTCAATTGCTGACATAATCTTTCCGCTTGTAACATACAAGGAGCTCAAATGTATGGGTATACATTTTCCTCAAATAAAGTGAACTACACTGAAGTAAAGACGTGTGAAAATCCAGAAGGTCTTGAACAATCAGTTAGCTGCCTTTCTTTATTTCTGTATCATCAAACTGTGCTTGTTGCACTTTTTCACGAGCGAATAACCCACAGTCCTCTAAATCCAAGGTGCCAGGCCCTTTGTTTTAAAGCTTCTTCGGATACATATTCAAATAACTCTTTCCTTTTCCGTGTCATAAAACGGAGGTAAAATGCCTAACGCAGACAAAAAAAGCTCTAACAATTTTTCAGTAAGTCACATGAACGTTTTAGATCTAAAGCAAACGTTTGGCTTTTAAAAAGTACATGTTTATTAATTTTCGAATCTCTATGGATGTGCATATATACACATAAGTATGTAGTTATAAATATATTTATAACTACCGACATAGGCAGCGTCTCCTTTTTCACATACAGCGACCACTATGTGCATGTCCGGACTTGCATACAAAAATTCCTCATTTAAGATGTGCAATTTCATGAATAAAAAGCATAGTACTAATGAAAAACAAACTAACCTGATGGCGGAATACATGTGTATTCTTAAAATGCATATTGAAAACCCAGAAACCTGAAAAGAAACCCGCATAAGTGCGAGTGTACTGGTTTGCGTCTTATTACTTTGTTACAAAAATCGAAGGTATATCAAAAATGGATGATGTTTGCATAAGCTAGTCAAGCCGACTCTACTCTTCTGTGCAATTACAAGATATATATCTCACATTCAGACATGTTTGAATGTGAATACAGTATATAAAGCACGAATCTACGAGTGTTGAAATGGCTCACTTGTTATTCATTTCCACAAATTCTGTTGTGTTGGATACAAAGAAGCACTTTCAAGAGCTCAGACAGGTAATTCTAGTGTAAATCAAGCCTTGCTTGCTTACCCATTGACATCAGACCATTTGAGTCGACGTAGCTGACCGTCAGGAGGTTTATCCATTGACAAGTCCGAAAAAGTAGAAAGTTCTGTCTAAGAAAGAAACAAATACAGTAAGCCTTAACGGAATTAATAGCAATTACCATCTTCTAAAGGGTAATTCTACAGTCTTTTACTGTAAAAACACTTATTCCATTCCTTTGGTGTTTGATTATGCATTTTTATGCCAAGATCACCGGTAAACATAATTGTTAGCGAAGCCACAGTTTCAAGTAGATAATAAAACAAATTTAAAGAATGATCCTCAGATCGCCGCCTTGGCAGGCATGAGTCCTTTAAAGCAAAGTCTCTGAACACATTTAACTGATCGTATAAATTGTGGCATTTCCGATGGAATAGTAGATCTGATTGCTGTTTGATTGCAAAGCAACCAAGTAGTCCCAGCGGCTGAATGAGCGCTGATCATATTTCCAGAGTTCACAGGGGTTGGACTAACAGATGCGTTTTATCAAGTTAGTAAAATTGGACACTACATATGAACGATGATGCGTATTTTCATGTTAAAAACGGTAAGTTTCAGTTGAAACAAACGTCAGTGACTCACCCTTACGGCTTAGTACCAGTTGATACTCGGCGCAAATCAAGCTGAAACGATCGGAGGCAAGTGTAGGTGCTCTGGCTAACAAGGCTAAAAACCCCATCTACGCATGTTTTTTTGACCCGATTCATAACTGTACACGTGTTTAGAATCGTTATAGCGGTTTTTAATCTCCTGCAATTGTAAGTACCATAGAGGACACACGAAGAATAAACCAACATAGCCCTGACACTTATTGCGCAGGAAAACTGAGTTGCCCAGTCAGTGCGCAGTCAACCAAGTTCTAAAGACTTCATGCTCGTTAGAGTTATAATAATCAGGTGTGCGATAAGTAATATTTTGAGGAAACCTCTGCTTGCATAACTGGCCCATTGGACTTTTTCGAGAGACAGTTAGTGAAGGAGCGGTGACTGGAGTAGCATAGGGCCTCTGCATATAGAATGCAGTGCATCTTCGTGGATATTACGCAATCCGACAAACAACGCAGTATGATTGTTGTAATTGATGGGCAGCCCTGACATGTGCAAATACGATTACAAAGCTTTTTACCCGAAAAATGATGCAGAGACTGGTCCTAATTTCTTGATACTCTTCATGCCGTCCATGAGCTGCAAAAGCCCGAGAAATGGTCCTGTAGTTTCTACTGAGTCCATATTGACTCTCAGTAGACGTCGTTGTAGACTCGGATGATTAAGTAAGACTTAGAAAAATAGGTTACTGACGGGATTGGGGGACAAGATTATTTGGAAGTTGTCGAATACTGATCGATCTGCTTTATGTTTGTATAAAAGAACAGTAGTTGCAGCCTTGGATATTTGTTAGGGGTCACTGTGTTTTATATTTCGACCGAAATTCAGCCCATGCCTTGAGATATTCTATTGGGCATCTGCTGTACCGTTTCAATTCTTTCCTGTAGAGAAATTTAGTGATCAGGGTCAGCTTAAGTCATAACATAAGAAAATATAGGGATGGCTTCCTCACAAATTTTAGAAGTCGCAGTTGAAGTCGCAGCATAATTGTTCGGTTCAACGTCTCAAAAAGTTGCGATTTCCCGTCAGTAGAGGTATTTCATCTGAACTGCGCAGCGAGGCGTTTTCGGTGTGTCTGGGTCGGAGGCTGCATTGCATAATGGTCTGTACATCCTTGAATTTAGTCCACCTCGGGAGCCCACCAATTGCCTCTTATTTTCAATAATCTCTGCTCCAGATTTGAAGAAGACACGATCGCCGGAACAAGAGCTTTATTAACCTGACGTTTCGGATTCCCGCTCGAATCCATCATCAGAGACAACGGCAGATAAGGGTGGTTCATGCATATGCGTCTGCAGTGTTTATAGGATGCAGTAGCCATGCTACCGCATACCTATGAATATTCACGGCTCCCCCCCTTCATCATGGATTGCTGCACGTGGCATGATGACCGACATTCGCGTCGTTAATTGCTGCACTTTCATCACGTGCGTTGGATGTTGTTGTGATGATTGCTCTACCATCTGACACGCTGACCTGGGTGTTGGGAAGAGTGTTCACCAATGCGCTCCCCGCGTGGCCAGTTACTCCGCCTAGACGAAGTCTCAGAACGGAGTATTGAATGGGAAGATCATTGCACTTGCTAATAGACTGGGGGCCAGTAAACCATGACTTAAGCAGCTCCCGGCTCACGCGGTTGTCACCTCTTGCGAGAATTTCCGCCTCGTGAAATTGCAGTCACATATGCATGAACCACCCTTATCAGCTTTTGTCTCTGATGATGGATTCCAGCAGGAATCCGAAACGTCAGGCTAATAAAGCTCTTGTCACGACGATCGTGTCTTCTTCCTCAAGACTGCTTCCTGGGACTCGTCTCCTCGCTTCTATTGGCAATCTCTGCTCCAGTCGATAACAGCCTTGCAGGCGAGACCTCTCTAATAGGAGGAATAGGACGAAGAAATGCGAGTTAGCTTGCCTTTGGCGTCCATAAGTGAGGGTTATCTTCTAAACGGCGTGATTATCAACACTTTTGGAAAGCTTTTTCCTGCTTCCCGGTATGCAGTGCCCTTCTGAATAGGTTTGTTAAACCATCCACTCTGAGTCACAAGAGTATTTGAGTGGTAAAAATATTCGCATTAGCATTGGCCACCGTCGAGTCAACATCAAACACTCTTCTCAAAACCCTTGGAGTTATGCATTGAGAAATGAAGTGAGGTTCGAGGGCTCATTGCGACTGGACTCAAGGTTCTTGTCTGCACGTGCACAAAATCTTTGGTTAATTTTTACCGACCGGATCACTTTGTTGTTTTGAGGAAGTATCGTCTTCTACGTCCACCTGCTTTAGTCCACAATTCGACTCGATTACCTGAGTGCGGGATTTGCACAGGATAGAGCTTCGTGAAGCCATAGATGAAGGGAGAGCGCCAGTTACGGACGGAATGGAGCAACCACCACGTTCACGCTTGGTCGTTGGTCAGTCGCACACATCTGGGATCATGCAGAGCCTTCGAAAAGACGGGGTAGAATGCTTAGTGACGGGAAGTTGTAAGGCTTGTTGAATTAACATCATTATCCACGTGATAAGTTATAAATCTGGTGCCGGTGGCGTTGTGTAAATAACATCTCGATGACACAGCACACTCCATTGGTTTTCTTCCAATTACTTTGCAGAGCGGAAAGCCAGCATATTAATATTTGTTGTGAGCGTCTGGCTAGTTGCGCGACCTCTCATCACTTTTCAGCAAACGCCGAAAACATCTCCACTGGTTTTAGATCACCTGCGTTCTCCTTCTTCGCATAGTGTGGGCCGAAGTCATGCAAAAGGCCAACGTTTCGACATCGAAACAAATCTTTATCAATGCGCCGTCGGCATAATGCCTGTTGGCATTAATAAAGAAGTCTGCGACTCTCGTCATCAGAGAAGAGTCTAGACCCTAAAACTACTGCTCTTTTCATCAAGCCCACACAGTGCTTAATACATTAGATTAAACAGTGAACCGGGGTTAGCATAGGCTGCACAACTTTATGCTGGAGAAATGAAAGTGTTGCCTAATTGGAAGTTGGTTATTAAGAAATCAGGGGTTGGATTTTTTGGATGGAAAGGCTTTTCACGCTCTGTAGATATCTGTGCATTCTTATAAATGCATATTAAATTTTCACAGAGGAAGAAATTTATGCGTTTGAACCCATCGCGGAAGTTAATCAGCTCGCAAGTCGACTATACAAAGTAGCAAAAATTAAGAATTCATCTTTGCAATAAGTGACGAGCTCGTACTTGGTGCTAACAAGCTGTATAGTCTTGAGAACACAACTTGTATGATAGCTACAATAAAAGTGAGATAATAGGGCTTTAATTTACAGCTTTTCGATGCTTGCAAGGGCATCGTTATAGGCACGTGGGATTGTTTTGCACAAAAATTGTAGCTAGTTCTGCTGTTTGGCAAATAAAATACAACAGATTTTCAATCCTCCTTCAGGAATGTTCGACGATTTTCTAAATTTGGCATCAGGGATGAAACGAGAACTAGACTAGTCTGTTAGACTGATGTGACTTTTTGAGCTTCGCTTAAATGCAATCACCAAACGATTTACCTCAACTCCTATGCACGGTTAGCAACTCTGTAATGGAACCACATTGTGTGTCACAAATGAGCCAAGTGGTATGATCTCTGCCCTCGCTGCTTTCTTGAGAGTCAAGGCGCGACAGAGCACGTCAGATGCAACTGCTACAGGCCATTAAATGCACACGAAGAGAACACCCGTGAATTGTGGGTTTGGCATTGATTTTTAGGTCCACTTACGCGAAGAAAACTTAAAATAGAAATTTTTGTTTGAGGGTGGGGAAAGAGCAGTTACTCATCATAAGCCTGACTTCGAGGACTTTCTGCAGTTACTTGCCGTCAGTAAGAAGTGGAGCAACAATATAGGGCAGTTTTGGTGAACAAATGGCGGTATTACTAGTCTACTCGTTAAAACGACGACGTTTTGTGGGTTTTAAAACGAGAGCACGTTTTTGTCCTATTCCATCAGTTATTCTGACTGAATTTGTTAATATGAAGCCGTCCGCTGGGTGAGTGAAATCATCCTAGCAAAATTGACTGTTTTTGTTAGTGTGGTTGGGTAGGGTTTTTTCATTCAGTTTCGGTGGGTTTTCAACTCTTCCAATCAACATGCCAAAAATGTTGTTTTGCACGCCTGAAGATTGAGATATTCAGAGGATGAGGAGCCATCTGTTCAGTAAGTTTGCCGTCTAATGTAGTCTTGACGAATGTTCTGGCCTCCGTGTTAGTGATAGAGACTTTAACGTTCTTGATGATGTTTTCCAGTTAAGTATTTGACACCTGATTAAATACAAACATGAGGGTTCCAGCGAGTATGAAGTTAAAAGATAAGGGCCTCTGTTGACAGGTATTTTCGCAAAATGAAAGTGGATGTTAGGTTTTAAAGTCATTTTCACGAGAGTAGCCTGTTACTGCTTAAAATTTATACTCATCGGTTGCACGTATGCCGTACTTAATTGGAAAGGAGCTAGCTAAAAGTCCAGGCAGGGCTTCATCGATACTATGCCGATGCATGACACAGCTGTGGGGTGTTTGGCCCATCAGTGTGTCTCCGAAGTTCCACTTTTAACCATAATAACCTACGGTTATGCGGGCAAGCTGCAAAGCTCAGACGCGTCTGGATTTAGAAATGAAAATGCGCAGGCATGTTCGAGTGGTTTTAAGGACTGTCACTTTATTAGAATACAGTTCGATCTGGGGATTGATTTAAGAGGGAGAGCTGGTAGTATTTCAGTCCAACTCAGGTTTTTTCATTGACCGTTGCGGTGGCGCTGGATGGCCGAGCACTACTATAGCGGAGGTCGGACTCGGATAAATTTATTGACAGGAATACTGGGAATAATGTTCCCAGATATATTAAAGGAAAAGTCATGTTTGCACTGAATGTTAGTTTTAATGTATAAAATTGCACTTTGTAGGAGGGTAATTCTGTGTGTGTGGGGGGATACAAATACCTGTAGCCGATCAAAGTGAATGAGCGCTGTTTTTGGTAATGTATACATTCTACCGATTTGACCGTTTGGTTACATAGGGATAGGATAATATTAAGTGACCATACAGCAAAAATCGGCATGGATTAGGTACATGCGCGGAGTAAGGAAAAGCTGTGTAGAGCCACCTACTATATTCTTCAGGGAAGGTGTTGCAGGGTTTTTGGACGGTCATCCGTCTGCAGGATGACATCCGCTGGCCTGTGCCTTCCAGACGACCCGGTACTGCTGAGGTTCCTACTCAATTTAGAAAGAACGTTCGGCACGGAGGACGCTCCAAAACCAACTTTGAGGAGAGAATAATTAATCTGCACCTACATGATATCTTTAGAACCCAGCTGCGAGTGACTGTAACGGAGCATTATGAGTTTAGAAGCCGCAATGGAAGCAGCCCCAAGTGCTGATGAAAAGTTGAGGCCACATATGCACTGTCTAATCAGCAACTTAATTAAAATATTTTGCCGGTTTTCCCACCATTTCTATTTATCGGCTCTCTTAGAAAAAGCCTGGAAGTTGATCCTCTTCCTGGACTGATATCCGATCCATGCGTGTAGCTTGATTACCTACGTGGTAGCACTTGCAAACGGATTCTTGTAAACTGAATGGAGGGATCATTATAAGCCTGCATTGCTGTAGATGTCTAAGATGCCAACCAAGGAGACCCTTTCAGATAACTATGAGGGCGCTCATGCACAGCGAGGAACCGTATTGTTTCGAGATACGCACAAACTGCTATCTTCATAAAAAGGCAGCTACTCTCCAGCCTACAGTATCACGTGCTCCAGCCGCGACTGTAATGCTGGCATTGAAGCCATTCTTACAGTGATTTGCAATATGCAGAAAGTTATCCATACCGCAGCGTTAGCGTTTTTACACTATTTTGGTCAGCAATCTCGCATGATGGGCTCAGAAACTCGAGTTAAAATAAAGCTCCCGCAGGCGTTGTGCGTAGGCAGGCCTAGGAGTGCAAGCGCTCGGTCCATTGTCTCTGTACAAGGCCTTCTTTGAACGCGCCAGTCCGTTGGCTTTTTAAAGTCCTAACGATTATTTTTTGCCATGTTAACTACTGGATTTGCCCTAAACCCATGTGTTAAGCCACCTATACATGTAAGGGGTCGTTTGCTTGTTTTTAGTGAGCCGCGTAACTGGCAGGTGACCTCAAGTACTGTGCGTACCAAATTTTTGGATAGTTGTGGTGTTTCTTGCGAACCAGGGGAGAAAAAACTTGCGTCAAAGCGCCAAGAAGACGGCCTTCGAAATCGATATAAATACGACCAATAGGCGAAGAGGAGATTTCAATTTTTCCCTCCTTGTCTCTTGGTGTAGATCCGCTTGCGCTCCTGTAATAATTGTCACTATTTGCATTTATTGATTCCTAAAACCTTCAGAGACGTCCGGATTCGTCCTAATTCGTCGTTGAAAACTCCGGGTGTCGGCAATGTATGTGGGAGCTGCTCTTGTCTTTCCAGCTTTAAAAGACAGACTGTTACCTTTATAGGCTTCCAGGTGTTCCCATGTCTGAAGCCCAGCTTGGTCCTTAACCGCGTCTCTTCGGTACGAAGGTTGCAATTGGCCCACCACTCTTATAAGTCTGCCAGCAGACCGGTCTGTAGGAATAAGTACTAACGTTTCTGGTTATTACACCCCAAACATCGTTTCGTTTTAGTTCAATAACTTCCTTGGTGAAGCGTCACATGCTGACAACAGCTGAAAATCACATTTGACTTTGTGGTTGAGGTCTATATCCACACAACTGACAGTATTTCATTTATATTGGGTTTCGTCAATCCTTGTCAACAGGCCGATTGAATGCAGTGTTCAAAATACTAATCAACATCGTCTCATTGTCAGAACTCAAAAAATGTACAAGGTTTTATTTCCAGTTGTCAAAACTCGTTACCTTCAATTGTAATGGAGTTCTAAATATGTTATCATCAAAATTTCAAGCGCAGCTAAGTGCTAAACTTCAGAAATTACCATTTAATTTCAAAGGCAAAACTTAGGAAGACACTCCGCATTCATCCTAAAGCCCAAAGACAGATTTCCGTCCAATGGACTTTCACCGAGCCAGCCACACCACCAGTACTCAACGGCTCGGACAGATGGGTTGTTGCTCTGAATGACAATTGGTCGGATCAACGCACTTTGGAGTTCAAGAAAGGCGACATCCTTCACCTACAGAAGCAATCTGGTGAACGCTGGTGGGAAGCCCTGAATTCAAGAACCAATAAGTGTGGCCTAGTTCTTGACAAGTGGTTCACTGATAGACCAGGCGAGTCAGTAGCCTTTGACGCATGGCAGAACATTGATCGAGAAGGGGCACGCAGACAGCTTCTCGTACCAGAACTTCAATCTGGAACCTTTATCCTGCGACCTGGCAAAGGTAAGTTTCATGTTCTCTCTCTTTCTCTCTCTCTCTACATGTCCGGCCAACGCAACGGTAGCCTGGAGGATTTAGCGAGGACGATAGGGAGTGCAGTTGCTATTTTGGCTAGTTTGCTCCGCCCAGTCATCCATGTCACATTCCTCTATCAACCAGTCAAGATGTTTTGATTAGCTCGGGGCCAACCGTGGGCATGCGTTCCTTGGAAGATATCACAATCCAACTTGTCCTGCTCGTAGATGTTCATGTGCAACCTGCATTTTCCCATAGGACCCCATAATAAAACCTAGGTAACCGGCTCGCATTGAGTCTTTTAATCCATATTTTGATCGTCCAGATATCGACAGCAAGGGATCCCACCTATTCGCTTTAAAAGAACCTTGATGTAAACGAGCTATTCAGGAAGCGCTGGGGGGGAGGGAGAGTAGTTACAAAATCCTCCCTAACACAGGCATACTAGTCAATAACGCCATTGGTTAAGTTGCGCCTGCGTAAGTATGTGCGGTGAACAGTTCTTAGACAACCCAGCAGGACTAAAACTCTGATGCCTGATGTGTGAATTATGATAAGATATAATGCAGCGTAGGAGCAGTAAAAGTTAAATTGAAGGAAATTAGAGCATAATAGTCAACCGTATCCTATCGGCATGCACTCCATTTGGCATTGGCGTTCTGTCACTGCATTCAGCAGAAGCCACCTTAGAGCCTCGAGTGCCAATTTTCTGAAGGCCTTTATTTCACACAGACAGTGCATTACATTAGAATGGTGCGATCTTTGCGATGGCAATCTTAATACCACAATCTGTCACATTGATCTCCTTATTTCGCACGGATGAAATTAAATAAGTTACGCACACGTTTCCTCCAAGCTGGAAGCCTAGGATTGGCCACTGCCTGCTAGACTCTAGCGAGTAGGAGACTGTCTCTAAAACATCACAGATTAAAGGCCTATATTTTGTTCCATATTCAGACAGGCGCTGTGACGAGTACTTTTAGAGAGCCATTTACCCTATCCCTCTCAGGTATCTCAAATGTCACAGATAATGCGAAGCACGCTTGCCAAGGTCTGTTTTGCTTAATGTGGTCATTAGAAGTGAAATAACAGGTTGACACTTATGACGACGTGAGCGAAACCAATGAAAACATCAGTACTTATAGTGAAGTTGGAACCTCAGCAGCACTTAATTCTGCCGGAAGAAGGGTTGACAAAGCCTATGGCGACTGGAATGGCCATTTATGGCTAATTGGTTGTCGTCAGACAGTCACATTCGACCCCAGGTATGCAGGTCCTGGCGTTCGAATCCGGATTCCTTAGTAACTTACCATTTTCAAGTCCAGTGCTCTGTTATTGAGCCACGGACCCGCTGTCCTTTCGGTTGCGATCGGGAATACTAACTGGAGTAAAAGTGCGTCCACCAACCGAGTTACACGACATGATCGCCGTGCTTCATTCTTCGACTATGGTCATCATTCCGGCCCTCGACCTGCAGGAAGGCAAGCCTGAGACTAAATGATTGATCATTGGACTTAACACTCGATGAGCAAAGATTTCGAATGCGAATTCCAGGCTGTCGAAACCTGGGACCCAGTACGGTTGGCCGGCGTGGGCTAAAAATGCGAAGTGGTCTTTCTAGTCTCTAGTGACTTTGGTGGCACTCCTACATGATTACCAGTCGCCGTCCGTCGGTTTGCAAGGGCCCTACATTGAGCCCAAAGCATAACGGATCGGTCACGTCCTACGACATGATTGATGAAGGGCTTCCCAGCACAATTAATTCTTCCTACTCCTCCTCTTAAATCTTGATCAGAATCCACACCTATAGGTGGCTGACATTGCTCATCTAATTTGCCAATCATCTTTCGTCTAAAAAAACTATTTTGAATGTTTTATCTGTTACTTGCGTCGGAGCGGCTCAGATCACCCACAGTCCTCTTTCAGATCTCAAATCCTATGTCCTTTGCGTCCTCTACGTCAGCCACGGGGATTATGATGTGAAGTTCTACCAGATCCAGAAAACTGAAGATGGAGAAAGATACTACATACGACCGGAACAAACGTTTTCCACTCTTGACGGGTTGTTGAAATTCTACAGCGGTAGGTTGTTTTTCTTATGCGCTCCAGCCAAATGTTGCTCTTATCCTACCATCGGGTTTTACTTGAAATTCAGTTTCTGTAAATGAAGAGTTAGCTGGGCCGCGCCAATAAAAGTAGAGAGTTTACTTTTTACCGTTCTTTGGTAAGGCCTAATTATGGGGGTTAAATGGACTCCATGGCTTTACATTGTCCACATTTTGCTCACGAAACCGGGTGAACAGATGCGACCTCCGAAATTCACCAAACGCAGTGATGCGGCCGTTCTATTCGAGCGTGCGAGATTAAAAACAAGCGTCCTACTTATATGGAATACTATGAAATCCAGAAGAGAAAGAAACAGCCAAAGTGAAGCTGCGAAAGGTTGCGGAGAATGAAGGATTTGAGCTGTTCTTCATTCATTGAATGAAAAATATAAACCTTTTATAAAATTATGCGGGAATATAATGGGGTTTGACTTTAGAGTCAGACTGTTAGATCCGGAAGAGCTAATCTGCAAAAGGATGCATACTCTATTCTACACACAACAACACGTGCGCACTTGCGGAAAAGGGTGGCAGGCTGTTTTTGTCGGCAGTAATGCCAGAAAATGGGTTGTGTCTATTTTACTCCGGCACAAAAACCTCTTTACGAAGGCGCAATTGAAGCCTAACTCTCTGTCCTGAGAAGAATGGTTTATCTCATCAGTCGTTAACCTTACAATTCACGAACCATGGTGCCTGCTGACAGATTAAAGCGCGTCCGGCATTTTTTGGCGAAGAATGTCCTGTTATACCTTGTGGATATATTCCTCAGTATCGGCCTCACTTTTTTTTCTCTCTGTACCTCGCCAACCGACTTTCTGAGCCTCTCAGCCAGCTGATGTTGGGATTGGACGCAGTGGCTGTCGCGGTCTGAAGGCCTTCTCTAAATGCATGCCATCACATTTGCGGACTCTGTACTGCCCGATGCACGTATGCTGACTGACCCCTCCCTCCATTTTGGTGCAGCGCGCACGCAAAGCAACCCCTTTTGTTGGTTATTTAACTACAAGGCATGCTCTTGATCATGTCCATTGTAGTCAGCCTCGGTGATGCAATGTATAGCGGTTGCCGATAGAAGCGAATAGGCGAGTTCCAGGGAGCAGGTCAGAAGAAGAAGATACGATCACTGGAATAATAAGTTTATTGGTCTAAAGTTTCGGGTTTTCACTCGAACCCATTATCAGAAACTATTGTAGATAAAGGTCTGCCTTAGTAATGTCTTGTATAACGGTTTTACACTCGCCATTAACAGCAGTAACGGAACTGGAGAGCTCGACGCACTTTCTTCGCCAACAACGAAGACTGAAGTTGTCTTACCTGCCTTCAGGTCTTGAATTTCAATGTCAAGCTAGGTCTGAGTCCGTGCTTCCTGTTGCCCCTAATCGGCCTGCAATGTCGGGGTTTGGTCAGCGGCGCTAACTATATGGATGGGACTCTATGGAACCTGCCAAAACCTCCTTTTTAATGTTTAGAGCGCTCTACTGACGTTGTTGCAGCAAGTATGGACTGTCTATATCGAGACGAAGTCGCCGTACTTCACTCCCGAGGCTCGAACCAGCTACTTGTCGGTTACAAGTCCAACGTTCCAACCACAGAGTCGTGAGCTCGATGTGCTGTCGGTTGCAATCAGGCAAGCACAATGGCAGAGGGGTGCTCACCGATCTCGTTAAGGGACACCCCAAACGGGGTTACAGGATGTGAGGACAGCTACTACAGGATTTTGAAATCGCTTACCTGAAACAGAAATGGTGTCCAACACTGTAATACCTAGGTTCTACATTTTATTTGCCACCAAATCCTTACTATCGTATACTCGAGACGCGGATTTCCGTTCTTTTTTCTGAACAAAAAAAATAATGCCGACAGAGAGCTGATCACAGGCAACGCTGTCTGGCGTTATATACCCGCAGATGCTCATCCCGTATAAAATGCATAAATCCCCCTGTACCGTCACAAAATACAGCGCCTTGGAAGGGCATGCTGTACCCAGCGAAAACACGTCAGTAAGAAAACGGAGGGTAGGACGGACAGGACCGAGGTGGTAGGTAGAAGGCATGCTTTGTTATCAAACAGTACGCAGTACTTTTTATTTTCAGCCTGCAGCAGTTAGCACCTAAACAGTATAACATGTAAACATCATTCACGCCTTTGTCACTACCTATCTCCTCTTTCACGAGAAGTTTGATGTGAAGATGCGGAGTAAACCTCGTCGATCCTTTGTCCGGCTTCGCCATATTGAGGCCAACATACTAATTTCGCCGGATTTTTATCACATGGGAACTTAGAGCGTGCATGCTCCTTGGCTCCTTGAGCTTACACCTCAAGTAGGGACTTCTTCTGGCGTATCAGTTTAGATCTCGTGAGTATTGAATTGGTGTTGGCATTATATCTGCCGTTCCCAAACTGTACGTAGATACGGATAAGCCTGTCCGGCACCTTCATTGTTCTTGTAAGGACCGTCGGCACTACAAACCAGGCCATCGGCTGAAGAAAATCTGACGAAAGGAGGATACTGAAAGAGGCTAAAGTCGGTCAATAGGGAAACTGACGACAGCATACTGATCTGCATTATCAGCCGAATAAGCTGGCACCATCGCAAATGATTTGAAACAGACTTGCGCATTTATCCTTAGCGACATATTTCTCCTCAATGCTGATGGACGGTAGCAGTGATGTGCTGCTGGACATGATGTCAGTAATATATAGGGTGGAAATCTCCTCAACTGCATGCATATTCATATTGCAGCTGCTGTGTTTCGCTGTTTGGATGCAAATATTTACATTTAAAAGCAGCTATATGTTGAATGCTTTGCTTATTTTATGAACATCATCGTTTGCAACTCCTTGCTTGCTCAGAAGCCAGTGGAAGGCGATCAAGTTATCTAGTAGTCTTGCGTTTTCAGCCCGTATTAAAAAATTTGCTGTTCGTATGTGTTTCCAAAGGTTCTGTGGCTTTTGAGCCTGCACGACGCGAAAGTTAGCTGTTCATAGCTGCACAGCCAAGTAGAACATTTGATAGTAAAAGTGAAGTAACAGGTCATAAATCCGTGATTTGCTCGCCTTATTGACCAATCTAACCGCATTAAAACTATGCAGTGACGATATAGGAACAGTCTAATGTTTGAAGAGCCCAGTCCTATAGGTAAAGGTTTGTGGATCGCAACTTCCCGCTATTTGTGTGACACTCTGATAATACTGCTATGCCGCATGCGTTAAGGTTACTTTGCTTAGACGAGCATACTCCAGTGGCCTTCTCCCGATTAGCAAGGAAGAGCTTGTACAGGATCACAATCACACATTCAGTGTTTTTTCCCGTCAGGAAATAAAAGATAAATTTGAGTTACACAGGATGTATAAGTAAGGGAAATAGAACTTTCCACGTGATTATAGCGAAAGCATACACACTTGTGCTTTTTACATAACACCCGACTGTTATCTTAGGCCTGTAGACCCACTTGGGAAAAGGTCTCATGCAGATTCCAAAGCCAGATTTGTAATGCTAATTAAATTTACTTGAAAAGATCTCAGCCTTAAACACTGATTAACTACTGCCACCCAGGATTTTGCAGAGGGCGCTGGGTATGTGAGACACGGCTGCATTAGAGTAAAACGGAAGAGGTCAAGTAAATCAACGATTATTTGAAGACGTCTTTTCATATGAAGGCTATGATCATATGTGAAGAAATATCAGACTTTCGGTGATAAGTCCAGTAAATATTTTAGGTTGGTCGCCTTACAGCAAGCCTTCATCATATGCTTTTCGAGCACTTTAACTAAGTTCAGGTAAGACGACAGAAAAGTAAAGACGTTAACGGAGGGTTCTGCCTCTCCCCCACTAAGTGAACACCTCAAAATTCTGCAAATTATTTCGGTTTCCCATGTGGTCACCCGAGTTGCCTTTGGGGTCACAACAGTCACTCCGGAAGCATTTTCCTGTGTCCACATCGATGAGGGCAACCAGACGTTTGGAGGCAAGCCGGGCTGTTTAGAAACATGTCCGGGGTCCTGCATGTGCCGTGATGGAAATCGAGTTCACCGTCATAAACAACGTGCTTTACGAAGCAGGACAATAAATTGGACAGCTCTGCTTCTTGTCGTACCATTCTACAAACCGGCTCCCTGAGAAACCCTCGCTCCGATTGACCCATACGTCTTCTAACCTACGATGGCCATCATTAACCTGAAATGTTGATTTGGATTTTACTTGCAGTGTTAAGTGGCCGACGTTGCAGTGTCTGCGGAAGTGTTCGGCAACATTTTGCATGACCTAACTGCGGGTTGGAAGTAGGGTAGTTTTGAGGGTTTTTGAGCACGCTACCTTTAGAGTTGTTAAAGGGGAAAACGATCATTGCAGACAATTAAGATTTGAATAGTCAAACCAATGCTACAGGCGGGGCAGTATGGTATATGGCTCTGTCTTCTGTCTTTAAGGCCAATTGTGTGTACTATGTGGGCGCAATTGAATAGTGGTGGAGCTATTTTTTGCCAGAGTCAGAAGCAATCAGTTGGAATGCCTACTCAATCGACTTGGCAAATATTTTTCATGATCAATACCTGATGTACTAATATCCTATTGTCATCGCGAAACTTCCCCAAAATCCCCACAACCATACTCAGCGCAAATGAAGGAAAGGAGTAACGATAGAAGTGAACATGAGATCCGGAAGACCCACTGTCATCATAGAAAACGTCTGGATTCGTTTATTGGATCTGGTGCAGTTGCAGACAGAGCAGCCGCGTTGGAGAAACTACGAGATTACTCGTGACCCCGATGGCCGAACACGCGACAGCGGTGCGGAGGAACGACGCAAGCCCTCAGGTGGCGGCCCACTCCACGGGACTGAGCAATACTTTCAAGTTTCAAGTTGCTGAAATCCTCGCAAGAGGTAAAAACCGCGCGAGCTGCTAACTGCTTAAGTCATGATCCTCAGACCCCGAATCCATCCCAAGCGCAATGACCTCCCGTTATCATAGTGGATGTTGAGACGTCCCCTGGGCAGAGGAGCAGTCAAGTGGACAGGGCACGGTCGAGCAACGGTCCTAGCGGCGAAGAGCCGAATGGCCCAGTACTCGTCAGGTCAAAATCCAACACGGATGATGAAATTGCGCAATCAACGACTTGGACGCGGACTGGCGTGCCATTATCACATTTATTACGACCCACAGCGGTGATCACGTACTATATTAATTATAGCGCGCATGTGGTCCCACGGCAGTTAAGTCCTTTAAATACCGCAGTCTTTGTGCTTTCAGTACCCTTATTTGCAACCGTCTCTGACGATAGCTTCGAGTAAGAATCTGAAACATCAGGCCAATCGATTCTTCTGTTCTAGTGATCGCCATTCTTCTTCCAAAATGCAAGGAGTACCGTTTCATACCTGCAAAAGTTCATTCTATGTCACGTTGACGGAACAGTCGGTGTGCGCAGCCAGTTTCTTATGATTGCGTGGTAGCGGGAGAAACTGCGTGACAGACAGAAAGGTCGAGTTCTGACAAGCTTAGGAAAAACCCTGTTATTTTATACGCATTTAGAGCTCGAAAGTGGGTAGAAAACCCAATTATCGGGCTACGTCTTCCAGAAATTGACTTGTTTCGTTAAAATAATGAGTTTTTTCCAGTGTTTTTCCTGACTTGCGAAGCTCATAATTATTAACTGATATGGTGCCTGAAGGAATAGATTTGAGTTTATGTTTTACGCTCGTTGATGCACCTCGACTGTGTTAAGTCTTCGATAGGAATGAGCCAAACGTCTGTTTCACGGTTATGGACTTTGGTAATATCTAAGGACTCTGACCTCATGTTGAAGATTGAAAAACCGCTTTTTAAGCCTATGCCTACGTGCTCGTCTGCGGAAGATCCAACCAAAACAGCGCCTAAGGTAGTTTATGTTGTGCATAAACCAAGGATTGTCCGAGGTGACCGACTGCATTGCTGCGGAACTAGGTGCTGGAATTGCACACCGGCCTAGAGCTACCATGCGCGGTAAAGTCATGAAAATCAAAAATTCATTAAATCATGATGAAGAGTCGGGTGTAGTGCTTAAACTGTCTTTGCAATTATACAGGTCAGACTGGACGCATGCACGCTGACTGCACGATTTGGTGGCGGATTATCACAAGTGGCTGCCCAAACCTTCGAAACGGGCTACGAGTTTAACTTTGCAGGCGCTAGGATAGTGCTGCAAGCCGAGAATTGATTCAGACCTGGGCTTTAGAAGAGAATTCAGTCAGTCTTTTTATCTATTTGGCGTCCGCATACAGAGCCCCGCACAGCCGCCTCCGGACATGAGTCACTAATATTGTATTCACTAATGCCCCCTATGACTGTTAGTGGTTTTGTTACCACTTTCATCACTGAAAATGGACTTCTGTACGAGTTCCCAATCCCAGAAGAATAAAGAAATGATTCCGGCGATCGAACAGTACTCTTTGCTAGACATAAATACACTTGAAATTCGCACATCTCCCCCCATCCACCTATTGACTCTTTGCCTAGTGAGAGCCTGAAAAGCATACATTTTCGGCCAATTTGGTTTTGCTCTCACAGCATAAATCCGACATCTTTTTCGTGTTTTAACAGACCCGAATCCCAACAATCCTTGGCAGTTGTGCTGCCCGCTAAAAGGACCTCGTCCGAAGCCAAGCACCCTCACAAGGGATTTTGAGTCCAAAATCATCAGTCGTCATTTGCTGGAGAGGAAGCGAGACCTGGGGCATGGCAACTACGGTCGGGTTTTTCTAGCTACCTACCGGAACACAGAGGTGGCAGTGAAGGAGGCATTGGGACCGCAGACCACAAAGGAGAGCATCGATGAAGCCAAACTGCTATCGAAATTGAGTCACCCGAGAATCATGTGTCTCCTGGGGATCTGTTGTGAACCCAACACTGAGCCCCTGCTGCTCATTACGGAGTTCATGCCCAAGGGTACCCTGCTGGACTTTTTTAAAACTGATGAGGGCAAAGCCTTCAGCGTTGACGATCTGATCAAGGTGATTTCACAGGCAAGTTCTTCAGTGTGGGACTTAAAGTGAATGGCTAAAAACTAACGGCTGCGGTTTCTCAAACGAAGGTTGGCTGCTTTAAGTTATTTATTGGCAAATGTTATCCATGGAAACTCGATGTATCGATGTGACTGATTGATTTCAGGGTTAGGTTCTGAAAATCGAGCTTTTCAAATCGGTTGTTACCGCGAAAACAAGATGTCTATTCGCCTGGCGTTTCGGATTCTCACTTGAACTCCTCATCAGAAACGATCGCAGATAAGGGTATTGAACGCACAGGGCTGTGGTATTTGTAGGATGCAATTGCCACGTGACCATATATTTACTACAAGTAGCAGCCCCCTCATTCACCGCTGTTGACCGTAATTGGTGCGATGATTGCCTCATCGTCCGCACCGCTGTTGGTTAGTAGCGTAATAATGTGCTGGCAATTTTGAATCGTTGAACCTGTCACTCGAAGCAGTATTCGCCCTTCCCTCTTTGCATTCCCAATTCCTCTGCCCTGGCAAATTTCCAGCACTGAATATGGAGAAGGTAGGTCGTTGCGGTTGCTAATTTACTGTCGGTATAGGAATCATGATTCGAGCTGTTTGAGGCTCACGCAGTTGGTACCTCTCACTGGAATCATGGTCTTGTCGAGCTTTTAGGTGCGAACTGCGGAATAGCGTCATCCCTCTTTTCTGCTGCTGCATTTTCGGCCATCCGTGCGCGGAGTAATTTCCCAGATTCTTTGACGTAGTTGCTTCGTTCGCAATTGCGTCAGCTCGAGTGAACGACTCCAGACGTTTCCTGTCGTGACATTGCGGCTTTCGGTCCCATAATCTGGTCCGTGATGGTTGTGCCCGGTCTGTGTACAAGTGCAACTCCGAGTGGTGTGGGAAGGCGGCCGAGGTCTTACGAGACGTTTTTACGTACGAAAGCATTCGGCCAAATTTGGGGTCGGTTGAATTTGGCTTTCGCCGCGTTTACGTGAGCGCAGACTGACTAAGCATCCGTCGAAGATGTTTCCTGTCGGGGCTTAGACCAACCCGACTGTAGTTGCGAGGACAGCCTAAGCAGTTGGACTCAGCGATGGGTTTCATATGTGCCGACCGTCAGCTTGGCATTGTTCCAGTCTTTGTAACCTTCGGCAAGGACCACTCATGAGTAGGATGCTTGGCATAGCAAAATGATGAACTTACATGAGATTGCTTTGCCAGCTGCCCAACTTTTCTGCCCTGCTTAGATGCTGCTGTTAGCTAGCTAGACTTTATTTCTCGGTAGCACTGTGTTACTTTAAATCAGCTTATTGTGTTTCCGCACTGAAGGTCTGTGAGGGCATGGCCTATCTGGAGACAAACAATGTTGTGCACAATGATCTTCGTGCTGCAAATGTTCTTGTCGATGCCAATAACAATGTTCGTGTGGCGGACTTTGGGCTCGCAAAAATACTGCGATTTGACGACCGCGACATAAATAGTAAGTAAACAGTTCCTCTTCTTCCAAACTTCCCCGGCTTCTGTGGCACGTTTTTCTGTCAACACTTCTATCGCATAATCATCCTCCTACACGACTTGTGTCTTGAGATCTGTCCCAAGCAAGACGAGTTCTGAAGCCTGGCGCATACATTTGATACGCTAATGAACAAATTCATATCAGTACTAGTGCACAAACTCACTGTGGTCTTGTTAGTGACCATTCCATGTACGACGATTTCAGGACGAGGAGACTGCTTTCTTTTCTAGCTTCAGTAATTTGAGTCAGTTCTCCAAAACCACTGCATAAACTGCAATCCCAGTCTGGGCGTAGAAGAGTAGCTGTGAGGGGTCAGTTTAAAGGTGTGAGAGACCAGGAGTGGCAGAAATGTATTGTAGCTTAATGCAAACCAGAACATAACACGTGGGCAGGACAAAGTTAACAGAACATAATTATAACAGTATTAATACAGATAAACTTAAGTGGCAAAGCTGGGAAAATCGACATAAGACTACTTGCGCTTAAATCTGAAATAGGATTATATTTGTCTCTTTTATATAAATAGGCCATTACGGACTTACACATAGATAAAAGACGAGAGGAGTTAGGGACCACACTCGTTTCGTAGGGCTCAATCTCAAGCCCCGTAGGCCACATCGACAGGACAACTAGCCCGTGGTTCAGTTTTTAGGGGTTTGGACATTCGACCAAGAGGTCGCGGGATCGATCCTGGGAGGTCGAGTAAGGCTGGCTGATAGAGGCTCCTAAGTCACTGATGGCTACTTAATCTCTCCTTTCTTCCTATGTCCGGTGTCCAGGGTGTGCATGGCCACTTGAGATAGATGGTCTCGCCTCTTCACTGCCAACTGGTGTTCGTGGATGCGTGTAGAGGCGCGTTTTCCAGTCGGAGAGTCGGAGAGAAAGGAGCCAGGTAGCCCAAATCAGACGGCCGAACCGAAAACTTGGCGAACATTTCCTTACATTAAAATTGTGTCCGAACTCGTTGAAAGACACTTAAGGAAGCACCAAATTCAGGTGGCGCACCGACCGACGACTACTCTGCGCACTCAGCTCGTGCACCCTTAAGATAAGGTTAACTATCTGGACAAAAAGAAGTCGTTTACAAGATCCCTTGTGAAGCGTGTGATGCCGTCTATTGTGGCCAGACTGGAAAACGCGCCTCTACACGCATCCACGAACACCAGTTGGCAGTGAAGAGGCGAGACCATCTATCTCAAGTGGCCATGCACACCCTGGACACCGGACACACTTTCGCTTGGGAAAAAACTCGCATTGTCGCTGTGTGCCCCTCAAAGAAAGGCCGAGAGTTCCTTGAGGCCATGCACTCAGACGATTCATGCATCAACAGGCACATCGAGTTGGATGCCGCGTACAGAAATCTCAAGGAGAGATGGAAGAGGCGGGGACCAATCAGAACGGACTGACAAACACGACGGCCGCTTACTGGCGTGAGCGTCAGGCGATTAGAGATTTTTTACGTGCACTTAAGATGTTAGCTGTGTTGGCGCATTTGCTTTCCGTCTGTGCCTGACGACGACTCGGGGAACCGGCGTCGAAAATTTGCACAATAAACTTCCTTTCCCAAAGCACACATTCGACTTCGACATATATATATATATGAACGATCGGTGAGCGCCCCCTAACATATATATATATATATAATGAAAGAGGGGCGCTCACCGATCGTTCTTACGAAGCTCACTCGTCTCGTCGTGCCTTATGGGCAGCGCATGATATAGGCAGCCAGTTTAACCCAACCCCGAGGTGGGAAACACCTGGGGGTCGAACTCGCGACAAATTAGTTAGAAGACCAACGCCTCTAATTACTGAGCCACGGGCTACTGCCTATATCATGCGCCACTGTGCGGCTGCTGGCTGGGTTCGAGAGAGAGCCCGTGAGGCACAACGGAACAAGTATGTTCCGTTAGAACGGTCGACGAGCGCCCCTCTACCATCGCATATTCCCGAACAAAACCAACGGAACAAGGAGCCCGTGACTCAGTGGTTAGAGGTTAGTAAGAGTCTTCTAACTAATAGGTCACGTGTTCGAGCCCCAGGTGTTCCACACCTCGGGATTGGGTATGACTGGCTGACAACGGCTAATAAGCCAGAAATGGTCATTCCAATCTCCCTTGTCTTTATCGGTAATAACATTTTGCCGTTATATATATATCGACCGAATAATTTTGGAAATTGTTCACTGTAGGACGTGGAGTTAAGTCACCGGGACCTGAGTTTTAGGGTCAGACCCGAAATTTCAATGAACGTTCGAGTCGAAGACAGTCACCTATTGTGGAGCAACCACATAATGCCCATTCTGCAAACGAGTAGTACTATACATATGTATATATTTAAATCGAATACGTCGTTTGGGAAAGGACAGTTTACTGTGTGACTTTTCGACGCCGGTCCCTCAGGACGTCGGCAGACGCAGACGAGGAGCAAATGTGCCAACACGGTTGACATCTTACGTACACTTAAAAAATCGATAATCTCTTCGCGTTCGTGCCTGTAAACGGCAGTGATGTGTGTCAATCCGGTTTGGACGGAGTGCTGCCAACAGTCTACACGTCTGACCTTTCGACTTCAATCATAGTTTTTACGCTTTCATCATCTGCTGCATAAACATATTGTCATTCAGGAAATTTGCAAAAGTCATTAACAAACATTTCCAAGCATATCTTATCCCTTTCTTCCTGGACGTGACTGTGAAGAGTTTACTCGTGCATTTGAGCATAGGAATAGAAAAATGTAGAAGGTACGCGATAACTGCGCTCCTACACAGGTTAAATGGATTTTCAGGAGCACTCTTTAGAGACTGAAACCAAAGTCTTACCCATTTATATAGTTGGTTAAGTGAAAGTGAAATGCGGAAAAATTATTCCTCCAAGCCTACTTTATTATTTATGCGTAGGGCATATTTGTTTTGACGATCAATTTTGGAAGAATCCTTTGGTAGTCCCGACATTTTCATGTTCCCCAAAAACGTGTAATCTTGTTTAATTGGGGGACGCCACACCGGGCCAAAGAAAAGTCTCAAAACATTCGAATGAAAACTTTTTAATCTAAGTTGAGGAATGATCCTCAGACCGATATTAGGACTGCCCTGGCCTTCTATATCCTGACGCAGTGGCGGCTATCCACGCAGTGGAGTTTCTTAGCTCGTTAGTTGATTACTGGTATTCGCATCTAATCGATCATCTATCGCTGGCCTGTAATAGCATAACTTGACGCATTTTAGAGTTGCGAAAATTCCCATGGCAGTATTCAGAAGATTAGCTGGAGAGCATACGTTCGCTTATAATAAATTCTCGCCAGGCCAGTAAGGGGTAAAAGCGAAAACATGTCATTGATAAGAAAAATCGATTAAAGTTCGTCTTAAAACACAGGCGGAGTGTGGGAATTTGAAGGGGAGGGGGGAGAGAAGAGTGGGGTGTAACAGCAGTCAATGCGAGGGACGGGGTGAGAGCGGAAGGGCGCGGAGAGTTGCAGTATTAGTCGGCCTTCGACCACGGTAGTTGCGGAGTCTGAATGCGGTTCTTCTACGCGCACAAGATTGGTTTTCGTAACCTGCTGGCGGCCGCTTCTGCTGTTGCTAACAGGCGCTGGCCCAGTAGCTTAGGATACCTAGATGGGACCTAATAAATCAAACGAAAAGCTTCGTTGGGGTCCACACGATATCCGGAATCAACAATATGCGCGAGAATGACACTTTTTATGCTCCTAGTTCGACCTTTTCCTAGCTATGCCGGGAGATGTTCTCATATTCTTTTGGATTGGCGCCGACCCGTGCGACCAATATGACCTGCTCTACTAAAGAAAGCAAAGAAATAGATGCACATTGATGTGGTCTGCGTTGACAATTTATCCTTACCTTCGCCGCGTAAAAAAGGGGTTAGCAGAGAATACTATTCGAACCTTTGCTGTTGGAAAGATTCGTGAGACAGTTGGATTAAGGTGTCGTCTTGGAAGTTCAATCGCAGCGTCCGCTTGAAAAGGGACTTCCGGGAATGACATTTTCCTCACGAGAGTCGATGTAGTGGGTTTTACCGGTCGTTTAGCAATGTTTTTGCAATAAACCTGTCAGGGTAGCCGTTTTTACGGAACAAGTCTCGGATTTTTCTAAGCTCTGTCTCAATGCTATCTGTTGGACAAATTTTTCTAGCTATTTGTGCCGAACACCGGGCTAAATTTCGTTTTTTGTGGAGAGATTCGAAACAGCCGAAATTCATGTGTTGCCCAGACCAGGTTTTCTTCCGATTGACGTTCCTTTGGACGCTTTTGTCAGGTCTCTTGCTTAAAAGGGACATCTAGGAAATGGAAAAAACCAGCCGCTCTCATCTCAAACGTAAATCGGATTGAGAGATGTGCCTGATTTACCGCGTTTAAGAGGGCAACTACGTCGGTTTCTAGGGTGGCGATTTCAAAGACGTCATCGACATAGCGACCGCAATGTTTAAGCTCATTGATCTGATCGCTTGCTTAAAATTTCTCTAGTTTGGTCATAAAGGCGTCGGCTAAGAGACGTCCAAGAAGCGAGCCCATAGCAACGCCGTCAGCTTAGTAATAAGTTTTCGAGTGTGTTCGTCGGAATTCCTAGTGCCCACGGATTGGTTAAGAGGGATTCGCAGGTGTAATCAACCGCCTCGGTAACTGGAACGTTTGTAAAAGGTGAAAAGTCGTCTAGCGAAAAGGGCACCATGTCGTTAAGGTTGATATCTTTGTCGTCAATGAATTCGAAGGGATCTTGATAGTTACATGGTGATAGTTAATATTGTATGCGCTTGAATTTCTCTGCTAATCACTCCGCTATCGCAAGATACGGAGAGTTCCGCATGTCTAAAATGGGATGTACTTGCAGGCCGTCATTATAGATCTTAGGTAAGCCATACAGTCGAAGGATATGTGTGCCGACTGGTCGGAAGTGTTCGAGGTCAAGGCCGCTTATGAAACACTCTGCGTGGAGCCTTCTTAGACAGTCGACCAGTTTTGATTCTACTTCATTCGTGAAATCTTTGTCTTTGTCTACCATTCTGAATTTTCTTCTGATATGGCAATATGGATTGTTCATGTTTTGGCAGATTTTGAATAATTAATATAGACCCATCTGTAAAAACTCGGCGCCACGGTGGGATTCGAACCCACGCAGTAAGTGGAAGACTTTAGTACAGCCAGCGCTCTAACCACTTGAGCTACAAGACCCCGCCGGACGACGCGAGTTTAATCACATTTGGATCAAGTTACCCGCCCAACTTACTGCAACGTCCGGAATCCACCAAATCTGATACAGTAAGTTGACTGTTCAAGCAGGATTTCCTATGTAATTCACCTAGAATCCACCAGATGACTACCATGCTCACGTAATTCATAGATTTTTTGGCAGATGCTTTGACCCAAATGTTATTAACCTCGCGTCGTCCGGCGGGGCCTCGTGGCTCAGGTGGTTAGAGCGTTGGCTGCACTAAAGCCTTCCCCTTACTGCGTGGATTCTAATCCCACCGAGACACCTAGTTTTTCACAATTGAGTCAATATGAATATGGATTGTATCTTTGTTATATAGTCCGACCTATTCATTATAACGATGCCTGTTCCCTTATTCCGCATATTAAACAATATATCTCTGTTCGCTTGAAGTTCTTTCAAATTCTTTACAGGTGCTTTTTTCAGCAATCTCCCGCTTTTTAGCCCCTTGTTTAGGTACCGATAATTGCAATTCACCAGTGTCGATTTAAAGTGTTGGATACTGTCTGCGGAAACGGGCACTATATTGTAGGTCTGGTTCCAGAGGTTCTCGAATTGAGTTTCTAATTTTAAGTGATTGATTTTTCTACTAGACATGCAAAACTTGGGATCAAATGATAATGCTTCAAGTGATGTTTTATCAAGTGTCATATTAGAGTGATTGTGTGCGTATCGACTTGGATCTTTTTGAAGCCGTAATTTTGGTTTCATTTCATGCACACTTTTAAGACGTTTTGCTTCTCCGCGGTTTCTTTCTATGGACTGTATATAGCTGCCAAATTCTTGTCTTTCATCTTCCATTAGGGTGTCAGGGACGGCTGCCCCCTGACACACCTGACGCGTTGAAGCGTAGGCACCCATGGAGTCTTCTTAACACCGCGTGAGCTTTAGACTGCTTTACAGTTGCGAAAATTCCCATGGCGGTATCCAGAAGACCAGCTGGAAAGCATACGTCTGGCCTGACGAGAATCTATCGAAAGCAGACGTATACTCGTTAACTGGTCTTCTGAACCTGACAACTGTTAAAATTTAGGCTGAGCATTTAGCGATCAGACTATTGTCGCAAACTAACCAATGCATTTTGTAATTGTTGCACATCCGTCGACCTTTTATTGGTTTTCACAATATCAGATTACCTTACACCTCAAGCAATCCAGACAGCCTGTACACTAGAAATAGAATGGGACCAGAATACTCCTTTAAGGACCGTCCCCGTGAATGTTTGTGCACTCCGATTAGGTGGTACCAGCAGAAGCACGCAGAGATCTGCCTGTGATAAATTCGGCCTACCACTTGTATAGATTCCCATTCACGCCCATTTACCGAAATCGAAATATCTCCCACAGTCTCTTACTAGAATTGCCGGGATTGTCGAAATAAGACTTGATTTCTACACAGGTTTCTGCTAGTTGCACATGTGGTTATCATCGTAAGATGAATTTTAACGTGACAAGGTACGCCGTGCAATTTCAAAGGTTGCATTAATGGTTTTCTTAAGATTGTATTTAGTTGTAGGTGCCTGTCATGTTAACCATTAGAACCAGGATTGTTTATAAGATCTAACCTTCTGCAGAAATTTGGACGAAATCATACTCGAGACTATTACATTTTCCATTACAATTTCTGAAGGCACAACAACACTTTAACGTCGTGCTGAGAAACTGAAATACTTACTTGGTTACTGGAAAAAGTGAAGATTTTAACCACAGACTACTTTGTGTTTTCCTGTGTTATAAACGGCATATCGATAGTACTCTTTGAATACTGCAGCGAACATTTAGATGAGGCATCCGACCACGGGATCATCAACGTCTTGTGCTGGTTGGAGCAATAAATGTATGTTCTTTGGACAACAGGTCTAGCTTTAACTGATTCAGCTCCTAGGAGAAGATCTATCTTATCTGACGAATATACGTCAGAAATTGTTGATTTACTGCATTCTGTTTGGTTGTATAATGAACCGTAATGAATTCATTTGTTATGAATTGTCCGAAACACAAACGAGAGAGTTTGTGTTAACAGTAGTGGAAGGTTGTGAATGCTGACTGCACTGCTGCTCTTTGCTGTGTCAGAGCCTCATGCAAACCTTGGCAATATAACCTTGTTAATTGTTATATGCAGCCGGTCAGTTCCCCATTCGTTGGACAGCTCCTGAGGCAACCGCATCAAATTACAGCGCCGTCTCCTCAGCAGACGTCTGGTCTTTCGGCGTTCTCATGTACGAAGTTCTCAGCTATGGCAGCCTGCCCTATACCGGTAAGCGCAATTCCAGTTTCTCTGGCTGTGTTTTTCTTGTCGACCTTGTTTGACGCATGGGTAACAATCGGGAGAGGGCACCCAAATATCCGTTACCTAGGAATAATACCTACTATGTCTATTTTAGTAGGTTATAGTCCTACATATTTGTTGTTTCATCCGACCTCAGTATTCTTCTCGTCCTCATCACAGATTTATCTGACGATGAAGTACTAGGCTACGTGGAGAGCGGTGGGCGACTGGAGAACCCCTGTAAACCAGAGTGGCTCCTGCGAACGGATCTGTACAACGTGATGACGCGTTGCTGGAACACCGAACCGAAGAGTCGACCCACTTTTCAGGCGCTTCAACAGGAGTTAGTTTTTACTACCTGATAGGGGATATTGCATGAACCCCCTTATAATCACTTTCTTTGTAACAGTGGGACAGAATAACAGTGACATCCGTGATGGCTGTTCGTTCTCTACGCTGATTTCCCTGTATTTTCACTAATTATTTTGTACTTCTGGACTATATTTCAGTGTCTATTTTGATCACACTAGTCGGTATTTTTTGCTAAATCCTTTCTCACTAAAATATTTAAAACTGACTTGAGCATGTCATTTTATCGATGGTTGTATCCGCAGCTGGCAATACTGCACTAACACGCATAATATCTGTCATAAATTTTCAATTGGTCCGTGACAGCATTTCAAAGCAAAAACACCGAACTCCTAGAAAAGTCCAGCAAACTAGCATAAGAACTAACGAATTTGAAGTGTAGTGATGTGCTGTAAATAGGGGAAGGGAGACAATAATGCAAGAGGAAGAAGAAGATGCAATCGCAGTAACGAGGAGTTTTGGAATCTCACTCGAACCCATCATCAAATACGGTTGGAGATTATGTAAGAACCAGATTATTAGGGTTTGGTAGTTTAGGCCAGAAGACCGGCATTGTCTCCAGTTTTATCAGGCAGGTTGGACGATTCAACTGTTCCCGCTGGTCATTACCCATTCTCCGAATTCAGTTTGGTTCCAACTAAAGGAGACGGTCGATTCCAACCCTGCCTGCAAAGCCGGAAGTAAGCATTCCGAAGTTCCCCGTCGTTATTCGGAGCCACTGTTAGAGGTCTGGTTCAGCAGTGGGTCCGTCTACGTTGATAGCCTTTTGAGCTGATTTTTCGCTGAAACCAGATTTAACTCCCACAGAGGAAACCGACTATGCACCTGTTGTAGGTCTCATGAGGTGCATGGGGAGAAAATGCAACAATCATTCCATCAAACGTTAACTTTCCCGGAAGATGTCGAAGGTTTTAGATCTGAACACCTTGCCGTTACTAAGGAAGTTCGGTCTTTTTGCCGACGATTTCCACTGTGGGCTCCACATCAAGGTGGAAACAGGAACGGTGACTTGTGCGTGAGTCAGTTTATGGTGGCAGGAGACTTGCGCAGCACCAACCGCACTCTCTCTTCCCCACTCCCCACCTGGACTCGATGAAATGGCAGAATAAGGAAGATCGAAGTTGGGAGAAGGTTGCAGGTGGATGGCACGGTCGAGCCTGCAGCTTGGCATTCAACCCCACAGCCCCTGGACCACACAGCAAGTGACCAGGTTTTTGACCAACAATAGCAGCAAAAAAGATGGAAACGGCCCAAAACTATGCGATTATTCATCATACCGGCAGCGTAGGAACTAGTTAGGAGCCCCTATACGCGTGTTTCGCAATCTTGTCCCTCTGCCTGACGCAACTGCAAAGCGTTCGGCTCATCAGCGGGCCTCCCCAGCCCTCACCGTGTTTTTTTTCTGCCATATAAACTGCAGTTTTATCCTACCTTGTTCGATTTCCGAGGAAATTTAAGCGCATACTTGGAGCAAACCTTGTCAGGCTGGGCTGTTGACTAGTACCGGCGATTTCAGTGTGGTAAATGATCACACAGATTTATACTACTGAATAAATGTTGACCGGCTCTAAGTACTACGCGACTATTCGCCAATAACTGATGAATGTCAGCTCAACTATTTATGTCGGCTTTCGGACCGAGTCTGTAATCACCCTGTTTGAAGAATTTACTCCAAGGTCACGCATGAATTTCCCTGGAAATTAAACAAAACTAAGTCGTAGTCCGTCTAAAAAATCTGAAACAATGCCTGTCAGTTAATAAACAGATGATCGGGTGCGGTTTTTAGTTGACGCGAAAGTTTGGGTACCTATTGACAACTGGCAGGTGAAGACATACCTGAATAGAACGAATTGCACTGAACATCTGTCGCGGAAATGCTGACTGTCTTAAACTGCAATCGACAGGAGTGGACTCTGCGCCGTTGACTTGGTTGTACTTAGTGAGACTAATTTGCACTCCAGTGCTAAAGAGCCGAATGTATTTAAAATGTTCCTACAAGTACGGGACAAAAACTGCTGGGCAGCCACTAACTTCGAATGAATTTATTTTTGTGATATAAAAAACGCTAACTTAAGCCTATTCTGTTAGTATACTCACTCACCTTTGAGAACATAAGGCTGATTTCTTAATATTCTGGAACTATTTCCTATCCGACGGTTTCATTTTATGAAAGCAAATGCAACTGGCCTTGTCGATTTACACGTAACTCGAAGCAAAATTAGAAGAAAACGATCATTTTAATTATGAAAAAATGCAACAAGTCAAAGATTTACTCAAGTGAAATGTCCAACAAAAAAATCTGTTCTGACCACTCCGAAATAAAGTGCTTGTCCTCTACGACCGCATTGTAGGACGTCAAGAACGAAACGGCTCTCTTTTCAGTGCTAACTGTTATTTTTGTGTGCAAAATGTGTTTACCCTACCAAAAGACCACGCCTACAATTCTGACGCATGTACATATAAAAGTAGTGTACGAAAAGCATTGTAAGATACAGAGTCGTTTAAAGTATATAAACGGAATTAATAAGGTCTAACTGGCCTCGTTCTCCGTCGCTTCTAAAAGCTTGCTGTCACTCGAAATGCCTAAATGAAAAAAACAGTGTTCTAACCAATCCCATCTAAGGTTGATTTTAAATCACACAAAATATTTGTCGGCAGAAGTATTTCCGTTTACCACTTACCCATTAGCAGAAAACAGATCAATAGTCTTCGCTCTTTGCATCTTATTTGTTTAAGTCTGCAAGTACCATAGCGCGTCGTTTATTTGTGACCAGGTTGTTCAAACTGGCAGGCAAATTGCAGTCTATTTTGATTTTGAGTTTGCGTATGGCTCGGTCGGATGAACGAAAATTTAACATTCTTAATATTTTATATGTACCAAAAGCCACGCATCAATGATACACGGTTCTGACGCAACCATAACGAACCTCGCAAGATAGAGCCGCAAGGGTAAAGTTTGTGGCCTGATTACTTAATCGGGGGAGCATTTGTGTTGGGCAAAGTGGCTGAACATCTAAGAACTGTGTAATATCATGAATACTGATCTCTATACTCCCACTAATTAAAAGGAGACACTACTTTAACCATGTAGGGATAATAGTAAATGGATTTAATGCTCCTTTGCAGGCATTGTCGAAAAGGTATCGTATGGTCGTATTTCCACTCCGATGACTAACTTAAGGCATCTTGACCCCCCCCCTCCCAACAGCCACCGCGATATCATTTTAGTTCTTTCTCTCTGGTCCATACATATGAATATTGTCAGTTATTTGCCGTCAGCACAATTGCTCCCCTGGGCTCCGATATACGTCCACGTCCCCTTAACCTTTCTTCGACTTTCCTGGTTCAGGTGACAGTAAGAAATAGTTTGTTTCATGCTCTGTATTCAACTCCCTACAGCTATTCACCTTGATATTATAAGAATGAACCGAGCTTTGGCTTACGTTCCTTAGGCCAAGTATTGGTTCACACGATTCAACAGTCAAAAGGTCATCAAATTACTTTCGTGATTTGTAAGACGGCCACATACGTCGCTTTAAGCTCTCGGTCTTGTTGCGCTCTGTCCATCTACTAGCTTGTGTAATAAAAATGGTCTAATGGTTTTCCGCTTTTGAATTTCATCAGAACTTATCTACGAAGTTAGAGTAGATCAGTTTATTCAAGGTCTGTAGGCTCAGACCGAAAATTTTATACATGAATCTTTGAGCCAAATTCCATCAACCATAGCGGGTAAACGCGTCATATTCATTATCTGCTGACAGGCAGCTAGTAGTATACTCTAGGGTAAGGTGATACCATACTAACAGCACAGGTACTAGCTAAAAGCCCCCTACACGCGTGTTTCGCTCCTCCACGCTTCCTAAAAACCAGTGCGATCCGATGACAACACCGCACCAAGAAGGCTGCAAATGAAGGTTCGGGGATAAAGCTGCCGTCTATACGTGTGATGAGGCTAGTTCCTGTCTCATAACCGAGCCTCACTAGGTTTTGTCTGTGAGCAGGAGCGGGTATCCGCTGTCGACGATGATGATGATGGTGGTGGTGGTGGATGGGAGAGGAGGAGGAGGAGTTATGCGTTGTCGCTTTTTAGTTTCCTGAGAAATAATCTACGAAATTCGAGTAGTTCAATTTCTTCAAGGTCTATAGGCTCAGACCGAGAATTTTATGCATTAATATTTGGGCCAAAGTCCATCAGCCACAGCGGGTAACCACGTAAAATTCATTAACTGCCAACAGGCAGCTAGTAGTATACTTGAGGGTAAGGTGATACCATACTAACAGCACAGGTACTAGCCAAAAGCCCATACACGCGTGTTTCGTCGATATTCTGCCGCTGCATGGCGCAGCTGCCAGGGATTCGGCTCGTCGGTGGGTCCCCCAGCATTTCCCGTGTGTTTTCTAGTAGATACTCCAATTTATAAATTGTCGCTTTTAAATTTCCTCAGAAATTATCTCCGAAGACCGAGAATTATCGCCCTGAGCCTATAGACCTTGAACAAACTGATATACTCTAACTTCGGAGATAATTTCTGAGGAAATTAAAAAGCGACAATTTCTAAATTGGAGTGTCTACCAGAAAACACACGGGGAATGCTGGGGGACCCACTGACTGGCCGAACCTCCCCCCGTCTGCGCCATACAGCGACAGAAAATCGGCGAAACACGCGTGTATGAGCTTTTGGCTAGTACCTGTGCTGCGGCTTTACAGCACAATGGTCGTAACAGTCAAACTTAAGGGACTTCAAAAGGCAATTTGGCGAGCACACGTCTGCTTTTGACAAATTCTCTTCAGGTCTGTACATTTATATGGCTATTGAAGTAATGAATTAAATGATACGGGCAAGTAGATAATTAAGCTATAGCTCGGGCTTAAGGAGAGGAGGGGAAGGGTATAGGGAAACACCACAATTCCAGTCAGCGCCAGGGTGAAGGTGGGTCCCGGCGAAGGTAATTACATGCGGGTGGCTGGCTTGGTGGCTTTGAGCGATGGCAA